CAGGAGAATAAAAAAAAACAGGGTTGGTGAGCTTGTAGTCCACTCCTGCCACATATAAATGTTATAAAAATGTTTATAACTTCCTAATTTAAGAACCAAAGGCTTAGAGTTTAGGTATCAATATTTAAAATTATCTCTCTATATTATTTTTCTCTATTTGTGGAATCAATCATACATATACATTTTATATGTGTGTGTGTGTGTGTGTGTGTGTGTGTGTGTATATATATATATATTTACATTTACATATATATGAAATGAAAGGGTGGTTTACAGTATGAAATATATCTGCCCAGACTGGAGTGCAGTGGTGTGATCATGGCTCACTGCAACCTTGACCTCCCAGGCTCAAGTAATCCTCCTGCCTTGGTCTTCCCACTAGCTGGGACTACAGGCATGTGCCACCATACCTGGATAATTTTTTTTATTTTTTGTAGAGGCAGGGGTCTCCCTATGTTGTCCAGGCTGATCTTGAACTCCTGAGCTCAAGCAATCCACCTACTTTAGCCTCCCAAAGCGCTGAAATTACAGGCATGAGCCACCACATCCAGTCTTTGCTATAATTTTTAATAAGAATTATCTTGGAGACAGTGGATGGCACACTCTCTCCTCAGCTTTCTCTTGGTTTCTAGAAGAGCAGAGAGAAGCCTAGATGTTGAATCACAAGTGCAATTTGTAGCTTACAGATTCCTATTTTGCTTTCTTATGTTACATTTTATTCATTCTTCTGGTATGCACAGTGAATGGGGTATATACTGTGTTGTCAGAAGATCTGGAGTTTTAGTTTCAGTTCCAGCTCTTTGGGGTGAGAGACCTTTGGCAAGAGACCCTAATGTGTGCATGATGAGAATGATAAAAATCTAGGATTGATTGAGGATCAGAGCAGGCAGAGTTCACAGGTGCTTGTTGAAACTGTGAAGTTCTACATTAGTGTTAGATATATATAGTGGGTTATAATGGTCTGCAAGGATATGGGGAAGGTGTTACTATTATCTACAATAACAAAGCTCAGAGACATCACGGAGTTTCCCTGGGTTGAATAACTGGAAAGGGATGGAACTAAGAACTTGAACGCAGCTTTCTGACCCCAGATGTCCTGTAGTATGAGGACTCTCAGGCAGGTGCTCTTCAGGAGCAAAGTGAGCTCTCAGTGAACTTTCTTTGCAGCCCACGGAAAGGTCAAAGCTCTGTAAATCAAGAATCACTGACGCTAGGAAAAAAAAAAATCGAGGCTGAAAGCATCAGGCTTTTAGGATGGTGCACCTGTCTTCCATGTCCTCTCCCGGAAGGGGTGAGGCCTGTGGGGGTGAATGTGTGGGCTTGAGAACAGGAGCCATTTTCTCCTGGGGAGCTGGTTCCACAGCACATTGACTCCCCAGCTGGAGGCACCACACCTCCTGTGAATGACCCACAAGAGAGCCCAAAGAAGCCAAGCCACAAACATGCAGGAAGTAGCAGGTCTCAGGGAGGAGCTTGCCACTGGGCCTGGTCACGGGACTGTCCAAAAAGGGATAATCTCCATACAACTGAAGACAGAAAGGCTGAACGGCACATCGTGCTGATTTCATGTAGTTACAAAAATACACAGACACAAACCCAATCTAGTCTGTTGTGCCTTGGAAATTCTGATATATTCAGGTCTCATTAATCTTTTCTGACAGGTCTGGCCTCCTCCGTAGCAGAGCTGGTGGGGCCAAGCAGAGTAGAGTTCACCATGTAGACACAACTACGAAGGCCTGTGACCTATTTCTGTCACTGTCTAGTGGGACTGATGGGATAAGTGATTATTATCAGGATGTTTTAAGATGTCTCCATTTCCAGGAGAAGAAAAAGTATGATCATTTAGGTTTGATTTAATTCTCCCCAAGAGAGTACTTCAGGGTAAAAAGGAAACAGATCTCTTCTGATTTCTGTAACTCCCAGCACAGCTGCAAAGAACACATTGGGCAGGATGTGGAAGTCAGGAAACACTGAATGGAGCAGCTGCTTTTTGCTTAAAAGCTCCACCTCTGTGTTGCTGAGATTTGAACCTAAGCTATGGATTCCAGAAGTACTTGGAAGTCTTGGAGCCTTCTAGCTGACACCATAACCAACCAACAGGGGGCACAGGGGAGCAGAGAGAGGATAATGTTTCCTTCATTTATGAAATGGGAATGGACCCAGAGACGAAAAATCAGAATGAATAGAGAGCAGAGGGTTGAGCTAGCCAGAAATTGCACCCACTTACCTGCTATAACTCGGTTCAATTAAAAAGGATACACCTTCTACCATCCAACTGTAAAAAAAACTGTTCTTTTTTTGAGATGGAGTCTCACTGTGTCACCCAGGCTTGAGTGCAGTGGTGCAATCTTGGCTAACTGTAATGTGTACCTCCTGGGTTCAAGCAATTCCCCTGCCTTGGCCTCGGAGTAGCTGGGACTACAGGTGCACACCATCATGCCTGACTAATTTTTGTATTTTTAGTACAGAGAGGGTTTCACCATGTTCGCTAGTCTGGTCTCAAACTCCTGACATCAAGTGATTTGACTGCTTTGGCCTCCCAAAGTGCTGGGATGACAGGGGTGAGCCATGGCGCCCAGCCATAATTCAGGTTTGAATCAAAAATTCAAAGCAGCCTATTTCCTAAATCAAGGTTTATGACTTTGTTTGAAAGAAATGAAACATTTTAGATTTATTAGCAGTTAGTTGGAACAACAGATTTTGTGATTGCTGTCAGGTCTTGCCAAATGCATGTCGGGTGTCAAATGTACAAGACCCTCATGTTGATGCAGACATTTTTGGGAATGTCTTTAATTGAGATCCAATCCTGTAAATGGCCTCAGTTATGGGTGCACATGGAAATTTGCAAAATCAAATGTAGAGTCGTCTTCTAGCTCTCTAACCCTCAAACTCAGAATAATAGACATAATCCTTTCCTAACTGATACATACTGTCAGGCTCATACTGGGTTTCAAAAAAGTGTAATGAAGTCGATTGTAAAACAGGGAGAAGAAAAAAAAAAAACAAAGTGTTGTTTAAAATTGGCAAGGGGAAAATAGTTGTCTTCAGCTATAAATGTGACACTAATATTTCTACCTGTAATAATCTTCTAACCTTAAAAACAATGTCCTTAAATCACTTAATAATTCCATTTCTAATAATTCCATTTCTAATACAGTTCTCTAAGAACTACAGTTAAAACCAGAATAAAGTATATTCTGTGGACCAAATCGACTGTAACTAAAAAATTCCTAACAGTTTATGGGTGTATGAGTTTTAAGGATACTAATACAGCATCAACCTAATTGTCCTTTATTTTGGCTCGTCTAATTTACAGACATGATTTTTGAAGTTTAACAGTATTTGTAATGGCAATGTCCAAAGCGATTTTGGCTGAGTAAAGTACTATTTGTTGAACAAAAATGTAGTTGTTTGTGCAAGTTTAAACATTTCACAAGGCCAGCTGAGTTCATTTCAACCCTACTTACAAAATAATTACTGGCAAATGAAATGGGCTGAGGGGGTAGAGACAAGACATTGTCAAGCTTCTGAGAGATTTACAAAGCCAAGTTCTTCAACTATTGAAAGTGAAATTGAAAGGTCACAGACAATTGAAAGGTACAGTTTAAATCTCAGGATTAAAAAGAGTTCCAACAAGAGGAATATTTACAATGGAACAATGAGTAAAATGTTTTGTTACAGTCAGAAACATGGAAAATATGCTGTTCAAAATTGTTGGCTCTGGAATAAATAAAATCCAGACTTGGGACTATTAAAAATATCAAAGTGATCCACTGTGTGCCAACTCCACTTTCTCCCGTTGTTATAAAGAAAATCCATTATTGAATATAATGCAGTTCTGGTTAAATTATCAAAGACATTTTCCATATGCAAACTGTTGTTTACCATAGGCTGTCTGTTCTCTAACAATTTTAATATACCTCTACCACATGGTTCCATAGGTGCAGAGTTAGAAGGAAATTGTGAGTTACATTTTAACCTCTTACTCAAGTTACAAACCTCCTCTGTAATAGTCATTCAGCTCATTCTGTTGAGCACTTGTTATAAACAAAATTAGAGATACAAAATGTTGATGGCCTCTTAGGTGGAAGAAAGCATCTTTGTTCAATGGTTGCCATTAAGGCTAGATTGAAACGCTTTTATCTTGTGACAGGGAGCTCCGCACAATGCAAGGAAACCCATTCCTTCAGTGAGTAGCTCTATAATTGGGACCGTGTGTATTAATCCGGGGCTGACATCAGCTGACCCTGGAATAATACGTGCCAAATCGATACCATTTTGTTTTTTTCAGCTGAGCTCTTCAAAGATTTTGAGAGGACTTTCCTGTGTCCTACCTAGTTCTCTGCCCCCCACCTTCATGCGGCAATCTTATTTCCCCTTAGTTTCACTACCACGAAATGCTTTCCTGCGCTTAGGGATTTAAAAGATTATTTCATATCAACGGAATGAGCCTAACAGCTAAATATTGAATATTGCACTTAAAATAGCCTTTTAAAATTATGACATTAAGAAAGCAAGAGTTACAGCAATTGGATGCAGTCTGGGATTATCCCTTTGTAATTAGATGAGCACTGACTAGCAAATGCTGAGGGGAAAAAAATGGAACAGACTACCTAATGCTTACCAAAACTGTGTGTACTTGAGAGGGGGTCATGATAAATTATTATAATGAAATTCATGTGCTCTAAGACAATATTGATATTTAAACTATTTAAATCTGAGTTTAAAAGTCACAAGATTAATTAGCTCACGTTTCAGAAATGACTCTACAATCTAAATTTCTCACAAGCAATTCAGGTTAATGACACCAGACTCTGCTATCTTCAATGGATAAAACAAGAGATTGACTCTTAGGTTAAATTTTCTTCTAGTGGTTATATATTTAGTACCTTCATAAGCCATAACTAACAGACCCAGGATAAGTTAAATCCAGAGCCTATCTTTAGCCTCCAGAATGGCCCCTCCAACCCCAAATCCATGCAAGAACACAAAGCCAGGGGGTAAACTAAAAAAAAGAAGAGATTGTTTTATTGTGACATTTATGACATTGACCCTTTGTTGACAGGAATGACCGAGGGTAATCTTGGCATATTGCACATGCTGTGATGAAGGATGCACTGGTGATCCTCTGGCCACTGAGGCTGTTTCCTGGTCCTCCCAGACCTCTATGCACGTGTGGGCCAGTCACAGAAATTTCATTACCACTTGGTGTATACATTTAACAAGTCTTTGGTCTTAATAAGCACCATTACAAACCCTCACATTAAGGGCATTATTATTCTAGTTTATAAATGTTTCAATGATAAAAAATAGCACGATTACAGTATACACACACTTAATTTACATGTAATGTATTATACTCATAACTGAGAGAAGCTACTGAACTAACTTTGGTTGATTGAAATTAATGAAGTATTGGAACTGAATATTTGTAATTTGGTTTCTAAGTTGTGTAAATATTACAGTGCATTTATAAATCTAGTTTGAAAATTGACTAGCACCAAATAGATATCATAAATGGGCAACCTAGTACTTGTATTTGGAGAAGCAAAGTTTACAAATTTGCAAAAAAAAAAAAAGAGTAGTCCATCAATTGAAAGCACATTCCTGTACGTTTGCTGGAAGGATGGCATGTCAGCATAAATGGCCAACCCCCAATGGAAATACATGTCCCAGTTTTCAAGAATCAACACATATGACAAGGTAGCTTAGCTACACACACGAGAAGCCTGAGAAAGTGGTTGTTTTGAACTAGGGTAGTCACCTGTACCTTGCTTTGGTAATACAAGAATAGTGCTTATTTATACAAATTTACTTGGTGAAAGACTGTACCTATGATATGATGATTCTGATTGGGGGAAAATATAGTTCTACCTATCTATATTTTTCTTTTAATTATTTGGTCTCTGGATGGTGAATTAATGAAGCAAAATCTGGATTTTCATCTTCAGATTATCACCCAGTTCACCACTGAGGTAGTCTTTGTCATATTTGTCTTCTAGCTGGTTAAGTTCTTTCTTTTTATAAAGTGGAGTACTACTGATTTGTAATGAATAGGTTCCAGCCACTGGCTGCTTCTTTGTGAAGTGGAGGTAGCTGATCCCTTCTTTTTGGTTGATTTTAAAGAAGCCATCTTCATTTCCAGATTTGATCAAGTATCTGTTGTGATTTGTCAGAGTTGTAAGAGCTGGAAGGAGTTCTAGGATTCGAACCTTGTTACTAATGTGGGAAATATTGAAAGCAAAGATGGCCGTCTTCTCAACATCCCAACTTGCAAGGCTCACATTAGCTTCTGTCTCAGACTGATCCTGGGAAGACACAGGGCAATGTGTTAAACACAATGTACCTATGCCACTTAGCTCTCACAGTAAAGAAAAAAACGACTGAAACGTCACACTAATACAATTTTCTGCCTTATGCTGCATACACAACATTGAAAACACACGTTCATAAAGCACTTTGTTTAAACCACAAATGTATTAAATTGGCATATATTTGTAATATTTGAAAATATTAGCTGATGTCAGGAAGAAAGGCAGAAAGGCAGGTCGAAATCATTTGTATCTGGAGGTCTCAAAGTGTAGGCCCTGAACAAGCTGCATGAGCAGCGCCTGGGAATCTGTCAGAAATGCAAATTCTCGGCATTACCCTAGACCTCCTGAATCAGAAACCCTGGGGATGTCTCCCAGCAATCCATTTTAACAACACCTAGTAGGTGGTTCAGCTGCACACTCAAGTTTGAGAACCACTGTTTTAATAGATTATTTTTTTTCCAAAAACTTATCTCAATTTTTAAGTGACAACAGATGGGTCACAGCACCAATACGAAGAAGCAGACTATTTCAGTTTGGTTCAGTGACGCAAAACCATCCCCTCCGAAGGACACACCTATGAGCCTACTTCCTGACTGTGATGATCTGCTAAGTTCAATGCTTTTTACCTGGCTTCTTTCTTGCCTCTATGGGACCACATGTGCTAGATTCTATGGGCCTGGAGCCAGAGGTCTGGGTGAATATCTGTGCACTTCTGAGTTGACTGAAAGGCTGCAGCAGCCGTAGGCAAAGGAAACCAGGCTGCTTCAGCTCCACGTTATTTTTGTCTGCAGTCCAAATTCCCTCACACTCCACATGGCTCTTTTCAGTAGAGGAGCCTCTAGCTTTCAGAACTTGGCGTGCCTATGTAGGGAGCACTATGTCACTTCGCTGTTCTGCCCACTTGCTGTCCTGGATCTCAGACCTTATCCTTTCAGCAGACTTTGGGTGGGTAGTTGACTTTTTTTTGGCGAGACAGAGGAAATGAGCAAGTATGTGAAAACCTTCAAATGGCCACTCCCGAAAAGCAGCAAGAAACTCCAGAAAGTCCCACAGCCTCTTGTAAAATGCAGCCTAGAGCTCAGGGAATGTCTGGAGTTTCTCTCCGGGGAGCTTTTTCACACTTTGGAGCATCCTCGTAGGAAACCACAGGAATCTGGGAGGGCTTTGCACAATAGGAGACATCAGGAGGAACGACCTTCTGACCCACCTCGATATGGGAGACATCAGTTTCATTTGTGCTTCTCCGTTTCCTGCCCCGTTTGGGGTAGCCATTGATCTTACACTCGTAACAAGCCTCTGGGGAGAGTGAATTGTCATCCATCTCACCACTGACAGGTGGCTCTGGGTTTCCTCGGCCCATGCCCATTCCAGAAACACAGTGCCTGCAGTAGAAGGGGAGCATAGATGCTTTTCGTTAGAATGGGAAGACAAGGTAGGTGGTACAAGAGTTCTGGTGAAGCCCGGTCCCGGTACTTGGGAGATACAGCCCTTGCTTGTCCACTGAAGGATGAGCTGGTTCTGAGAACTACATTGAGAGGTCTTCTGTTTGGCCTCTAATTCCCGGTTGCCGGAGTGTACTGATTTCTTTCTACTACCTATCAAGACACTGTTTTGCATATTTGTTTATCCCTTAATTCCTAAACCTCACATGGAAGGCCTTTTGCAGTACTTCCACTGGGGAGGAGACACAGAGTGGAAACTAGAGAATGGTAGATGAGGGAGGCCATGTAACTTGGGAGGCTAAATAAAAATGGCTTCTCTTTATGAACCAGGCTCCATGGGAGTGAGCAAGGTGTGAGACATCACTGCTGAGTTTCTTGCATTCTCCTGCTTCCATAATTACTCCTCCTCACTCAAGCTTCCGAGCAATTGCTCCTATTCCTTCATGTTTCACTTTTGCTGATGCTACTGAGGATAAGAAGAGAGCTCCAGATGGTAATGAAGCTTAATGTAATAAACTATGAAGATATGCAGTATATAAAATGCATGCATCAGGGCTTGCCCAACTGTGGGAAACTGTTTCAAGTCATTCAAAACCACTAGGGCCGTTGGCTCTGACTCATACGAAGGCGGATAAACAAACCCATGCCCAAGAGAGAACTAGTTCAGTTGTTTTTCTTTGCCTTTCAGTTATCAAAGCCAAGTTATGGAGGAAGGCTTGAATGTTTCACAAGTACCTTGTTTTGTTATTCTGCTTACTATTTCTGAGGCCACTTGGAATGTGTGTTTATCAAGCTCCTCTTTCCAAATGTGTTGAAACATGTGAATGGTCCTTAAAAGAATCTTTATTTGGGGGCAGAGTCCACTCTAGTGATTCAGAGAGGCCAAAACTGTTTTAAATGGGTAGATTTCTAATAATGGGTCATAATGTAGACCTAACACTATTTGTTTTTCTGTAATAGCTGATATGCTTTTTAGAGCTCATTTTCCTATATACCCTTGGGATTCAAAATACTTTGCAATGAACATAATATGCTGTATTTAGAAGCAATTTACAGGTTCCTGCTATTTCTCCCAATCTTTCCAGAGCTCAATACATTTCCTTTCCTCTTTATCTTGCAACATGAAATATGCAGAAACAGTGCAATGGATGAAATGATAAAGGCTCATCCTCTGTGTGTATGCACATGTGTATACATTCACACAATGATGACATTAGGAGGTAAACTCCAAAGCTGCAGGCTTTGGTTCCATTCTCAGAACTCCTTTCCAGTATTTTCATATCCCAGGAGCACCACTTTTAAGAAGTGTGACTACAAAATCCCACTGGCCAAAAGCCAGTTTAGAGTGTCACAATTTTTGCTGGGAAAAAATGGTTCTGGCATTAAACTATAAAGAATGAGTCTACTGAGAGCCAGACACAAACATCTGGGAATTTGTGTCCGAATGCTGGCATTCTGTGTGCTTCTCACGAAACATTCTTCTACCTACCCGGATCTGAACGAATCACTTGGTGTCTGTATGTCAAGAAATCAAAGACTGCTACATTAATAATTAATATGAGTGTGGATGTGTGTGTGTGGTGTGTGTACATGCATGTGGGGGAGTAATAATGTGTATGTCTATTTAATGTCTATGCGTTCCTAATTAAAAAGTTAAAATGTGCACTTTCTCTCAGGATAGCTAAAACAAGGTAGACACCCGAGTCCAGATTGATTCAGCAGGAAAAAAGATCCAAACTTTGAAAATTTAACACTAAACTTTTAAATCACTTAGTAAAATAAAAATGTCTTACCTGCCCCAACTCTCACACAGACATACCTATAATTTGATGAAGTTTTTTTTTTTTTTTTTAACCAGAAAAATAGTGTTTCAATTCTCATAACTAATGTACCTTGGGTAACATTTAATGTAAATTTAAGTTTGAAATGTAAAATATAATTTAAAACCCGAAAGGATCTCCAGCCCAAAGGGATATCTTTGACAGGAACTGGATTGAAAGGCATTTTAAGTCAAGATGGAATCCTGCCTGCCCCAGGAGAAGACTGGGTCAGTAGGGTGCAGGGTAAGCCCAGTTCTGTCACTGGTTGGCAGAGAGGTGCATTTACAGAGAGATGAATCGCTTCACAACAAGATGTGAAGATCAGGACAATGAGATCGAGAAGTCATATAGTGAGATATCTACAATGTAGTTTCATTACTTTGATGTTTCCAGAAATCCAGATGCTTCTTTCAAATGAAATAACCTAAAACTTTTGCCAAGCTAACTGCAATTAATTTTAGGATTACAAAAAGCATGGTTCTCCTCTACTAGAAGAGGTAATTTTGAGTTCAGTATACTTAATTATATTACAAATGAGAGAATCTCCAACCAGGACCAGAAAGAGCAGTGCTTACCCTTGGCCTATGCGGAAGTAACCAGGTGGACAGCCGCACAGGTAACCACCCTCAGTATTGGAACAGCCGTAGCTGCAGGGGGCCTGTGAAGAGCCACATTCATTGATGTCCTGGCATCCTCCACTGAACTGCTCATACTGGAAGCCGGCGGGACACATGCACTTGTAGCTCCCCAGAGTGTTGTGACAGGAGGCTCCTCCGCAAATGTGGGTGCTGAGGCATTCGTTTTCATCTGCAGGGAAAACGAGAAGCAGCACCAGAGATTTCTATTGAGGACACTGGATCTGACCATTTGCTGCTGGCCAACTGGCCCTCAGGTAGGTTCTCAGAAAGGTAAGGCAGGCAGAGGTGGCTGGGTGGGGAGAGCAACAGCAGAGAAAGATGTGGGCACAGATGTGGCCTCTTGCTATGTTGTGAGTAAACATGGAAGATGAAGTTAGATGCAGCAGGCAGAGGGCATTAGAGGATGGCATTCTGAGGACCAGCCGACTCCAGTTCTCATCAGAAGTCAACACTGGTATCTTCTGCTCCACATAAACATCTAGTAATGAACCAACATGGTGCTGGTCTGTAGCTAAGATTTAGGGTTCAAGATGGGAAAGAAGGAATCTTGCGATTCTTTGCGAACTTGCTTCACAAGTGCCCAGAGAGGAGATAAATATCTCAAAAGCAGAGACCAACCGTTTTTCCGGAGCCCGCTTTCCCCGTCCACCTATTTCAGGATGTGCCGATCTCGCAAGGGGTGAGATCCTGCCCGAAGTGTCTGCCCCACTTGGATTTCCTTTTCAAAAATCTGAAAAAGCCCCCAGGTACTTGTTCTGGGGGATGAATAGTGCCTTCTGGTATGTCTGCTCCCATCACTGATTCGGCCCCTTCCTTATTCAAACCAGCCTCCTGCCCAGAGTGTCTGAGCCCTGTCTAAAACTAAGTGTGGCTGGAAGGGATTCGCTGCAGACTTCACGAGCAGTAATTGGGGAAAACCCACAAGAGAGACAGAGGCTGCAGGACTGGATACCCACAGGGACCTGCCAAGTCTGATGCTAAGAAGCAGGAAAAAGAACTCTTACTTAAAAAAAATCAACTAGAAAGGAGAAAACCATAAGTTTCTCATTATTTCTGATTTATAATTTTTGGAAGTCTCCAATATATTTTTGTAGACCTGCCTTTGCAGGGCAGGTTGGAAATTTGCTGGTTAGACATTTCTTAATTGCCATAGCCCATTTTCAGGCATATGTTCATTTGAATGTTGGGAGATTGGCCTTGCCTTCACTTAGTGGATACCCACTTCTTATGGAAGAGAGGAAGGGGAAGGGAATGAATGTTTATTAGATACCTATTATATGATAGATAGGATATAGGTGTTACCCATTCATTTCCTTGGCTTTCCTAACAACTCTGAGAAAGACGTGTTATATTCTCTGTTTTACAGCTGAAGAAAGTGAGGCTCAGAAAGCCCTTCCAAGATCTCACAGCCAGCAGCAGCGGGGCAGAAATTCACAGCCAGGTCAGTTGGACTGCAATGGCCGTCCATGTGCTTTCCTTTCTACCACAGGGCCGCTCTAGAGACACTCCCACATTTAAGCTGGTGTTTTCTTTCTCCTATAATTGGTTTACCCTCTTTGCTAAGGCAGATTCATTTATAATTAAAATTGTTTCTCAAAAAAATCTATTTTTTATTTTTTTAATTAGAAAACAGGTAGATAAAAGTGGGGTGGGAAGGATGCTCACTTGTATATATTTAGTAGATACTCACATTGTCCTCCTGCCTGCTTGCCTTCCATATCTCCTTCCCTTCTCTCCTTCTGTTCTTCCTTCAGTCCTTCCCTCTGTTTTTCCCTTCCTCCCTCCCTTCCTTTTTTCCCTTTCTCCCTCCCTCTCTCCCTTCCTCCCTTCTCGTTCCCTCTTTCCCATCAGCTATAGGTCTATAACTTTGGCTGTGTGAAGACCTTTTGTATTCAAAGACTTTCAAATCTCCACCCAAGGTCACTTAGGCTTCAGGACTCTTAGAAATAAAAATTTTCTCTTTCTCATTCTTCCCTTTCTCTTTCTGTGCTCAACACATTGTCTGTGTTCTTTCTCCTTATTTTAAAGTGAGGATGAGATGTGCAATAAAGAGCAAGAGAAACCGTGGGCACCAAGCTCCATGTCCAACAAAGAATGATGAAGCAAGCGTATTAACTTCAGTGGAGAGAACACCTCTGGGCTGATGTCTTCTTGCCCCTCCATGTCCATCCTCTACCTTCTCCACCAGCTCTTGGCCCCAGGTGGGTGATCTACGGAACATAAGCAAGCTCTGCTCCCCTGTCCCCCACTTCTGGTTGGCCTCAGCCATCTGTTTCTTGCTGGGACCTTGACTAAAAAAACCTGTAAGGCGTGGGTATATTAGGGGGAAGACTTGTCATTATATAACTTAGATTTATTCTGTGTTTTTTCCTCCAAAGGGCAGAAGGAGGACCAATGGTGAGAAATTAGAGGGAGAAGTGATTTTTTTTTTAACCAAAAAAGACATTTCTAAGTATTAAAAGCTATCTATAGATAGACTGGGATATCTTGGGAGAAAGTGAGTGCCCTTCAAGGTGGTATTTAAGCCAACCTGTGATAAGCAAGGAACTTAGAGAAGGATTTATATATTAGGAAACAGGGAAGGCTAGATCTCTAAGGTTATTTTTAACTTTGAGCATCTATCTGTGTTACTACAAATATCAAGAGCTCTCCCCCACCCCTTTCAGATTCTTTTTATTTTACATTTTCCCCCCTCCCCGAGAATTTAATAAAGTTTAAATTAAACTTGCTTATCTAGGTTGGAGAGGTGGAATGGAGTGGAGCACAGATTAAAATAAGAAATTTGCAAATATTCAGTGTTTACAGTTTGAAAATAGCATGATTTTGCACTTGCCCTTTCTATTAATATACAAACGCCATGATTTGGTTAACATGTTTTTCACTTTTCCTGACCTTTTTCATCCTCTACACCTTGGAGCAAATGACTCTCCCCAGAGTTTTTTTACACTCCCAAATATATGTTTGATTCTTCGGTCGGTACTTAGGTGAGGGTTTTGTTCGTTTCATAAAAAGAGACAATTCAAATTTTATCAAAACAGCATTAAAGTCTAAAAACCACTCCTTAAAAGCAGATGGAAACCCACCACTCTGTCCTCTAAAATCAAAGGCTTCAGCATCCAGCTTGCACTGTTCATGATCAGCTGTGGCCTTAAGGGAGTAACGATAGGAAAATTCACAAATGTAGGATGGGCTTTCTTTAACTAATTTTCTCTATGGCAAAATGGGTCAAAACTCCATCTATCTGCAAGCTGAATTTTTGAAATTTACTTCTAGAAAACAATGAAATCAGTGGCCCCCTTACCCCAAAGAGTGAACTTGCAGCCATCTTTGAGTGAGGATCCAGGGAGGACTGGTCTAAGAGATCTCTGTTTCTAGTGGTTCTGGGGAAGCTATTTTAGCCCAAGGCAATGCTCATTCTAGGTAACTCTAATTCTCAAGATTTATGAGGGCAATTTGGCATTTGGAGGCATTAAGAACCCCAAACTTCTTCTGACTTCTAAATGAACTTATTGTTTTAGAGTGTCCAGCCAGGAGATGACCTTCACAAGACTCAAGCAGAATCTCCAGGAAACTAGTTCATGGCCTGGTCACCTCTACTATCCTCAGACTGAAGGTAGGAGAAGGAGGATAAGGTACAGGAGTGACATACCTTTCCTCTCTCAAGTTTTTTCACATAGCTCCAGTGTTATTAAAGGGACCTACATAATGAGAACAGACAGGCTCATAAACTGGGTACTGAATCAACAAAGTTCACTCTGGAAGTTCTGTGAACCATGTCAGAAACTGGGGATTAAATCCACAACCTCCTTGAGCTGATAATGAACCGACATTTTTACCAAAACCAGATAGCTAGCCAGAGACTTGTGCAGTCTAAACTTCTAAAGCACAGGGGCCACTTCAGTCAACCCTGGGTGACACTGCAAAACTGTGTCTTGTGCGGAATCAAACTAGATGAGAGAGATGATTTTGATAAATGAAAACACACCAAAATGACCTCCTCTGCATGAAAGAGAACCATTGCAAGGCCGAGCCTGCACCCAGGAGGCAGTAATTCTTTGAGTTTTTGCTACGGAGGGCTCTGTACTTAATAGTGTGTCAATTAGAAAAGGCTACCAAAGCACCAAGCGTGCACTGGCACTCCAGATGCTTGGAATGAAAAAACAACAAGTGAATGTGACACTTGAAAGGCAGCCCTACATCAGAGTGTTAAGAGTTGTGAGAGTGAGCTGAGATGGTGCCATTGCATGCCAGCTTGTGCGACAAGAGCAAAATTCCATCGCCAAAAAAAAAAAAAAAACACGTTTTGGGTTCTAGTTCTAGGCATGTCACAAAAGACCTAGGCAAGGCCATACTACCTTCTCTTCCTGGACTTCTAGGTCTTTATCAGTTAAAGTACCTGAGCTGAATGCCCTCTGGTAACCCTCCAAACTCATATTGTTTGGATTCTCTGACATGCATTAAGAGTTATTTTCCCATTACATTGTAGAACATCATTTCAATTTAATGAGAGCGTCTGCAGCTCTCCCTTGAAGAATTTAGCAATCGTGAAAAAAAAAAAAAAAAAAAAAAACGCTTAGGGACAGAGTACGAGCAGCAGACACGACAAGGGTTTTGTTGCTCGCACTCTGCTGCTCGCACTCTGTCCCCAAATGTGTAGAGCTGAACAGAATTACTTTGGCATCTTCAGGCCAAAAGTCACTCCAAACAGCCTCTGGCTGGCTGATATTTTTCAATCCTAAGTAAGGTTTTTTGACCCCTGATGTGAACAGAGCTCAAGTGCAGCAGGACGCTGGAGGATACTGGCATCAAGAAGTGCCAGGGGCATTTCATTTCAGATGCTCTCGAAGCACCCTCAGTCACGATATTTTTTCTTACTTTGGTGTAAGCTGTTATTTCCCTTGGGTTTCAACCAGGTTAGGGCAAATTTAAATGAGCATTCATTGCTTCAGTAACACATTTACAGCTTCAGAAAGAAAGCAGTGTTTTGCCTCCTAGGAGCTGATAGCCATGCATCTTGAGAGTGAGGAGAAGTTACTTGCCAACACACTGGTTCCACTGGTAGTGCTGGAGGTAGCCCTGGGGGCAGCTGCACCTGTAGCCCCCGATGATGTTCTGGCAGCCATGCTGGCAGCGGTGGTTGCCCTCACACTCGTCCACGTCTGAAAAAGAAGCAGAACCACCATGACGCCAACTCCACATCGCTCTGAAGCCACCTGTATTCTGATGAGAAAGCCAGCCCCAACACATCCTACACACCCTACCACCAACAACTTCAAGAATATCTCTTCTTGAACTGCTGCTAAGTCAAAGGAGAAAAACATTCAGAGAGCCCCAGCAACATCTACAAATAAAAATGATCAGGAAATTAGTGCAGAGCCCAAAGTACTCTCCAGGACAGCTCTGTAAGTTATTTGGGTTTGCTTTTTTTTTTTTTTTGGTGTGTGCCAGAATTAGAAATCAAAAGGTGTCAAAAGCCACAATCAACTCCTACAAATATCATTTAAACTTTTAATTAAATGTCATCAGAAGAGCTTATTCCTCATGTTTACTCCACATGAGGGAAATCCCTTTATGGTTCTGGACCCAGTGACCAGAAAATCAATGAATCAAAGTCAAGAATCTGCCAATTTTGCTTGACTGACTTATTCCCTATTAGGTTAAATTAAAAACTGAGCAGAAAAGGTGTTGATAGCCTTAGGAAAGGCATGTGTGTTAGACACAGGCATGAGACAAAACCCTGTGGCACACTATTTTAGGGGTGGCTCCCTGGGCTTAGATCTGCTATCTCAGAGAGGCTGATAATGAAGGTCACCTTCACAGCGCAGGCCACCTCCACAGCGACTTGCCAGCTGGATCGCAGCTGAGGTCTCTACCTACCTTCACAGCTGGAGCCAGTCTGATCAAGTGAGAATCCCCGCTGGCATTCACAGGTGAAGCTTCCAGGAGTGTTCTGGCAAATGCCCTTAGACCCACACAGATTGATGTCAGAGGTGCATTCGTTGTTATCTATGAGAAGTGGTGGAAGCAAGGAGGGGTTAAAATTCCCTAAAGCTCTCTTTGTATTGTTTAAAAGAAAGTTAGAAGGATGACTCAGAAAAGGCCAAATAAGGCCAACAACTCTCCACATCCATGTGCAGGTGTGTGTGCTCTCACGTACACGCACTCATGTATTTCTTTGAGCTTTTGTTTTCTTACCCCAACAGCAGAGGAAATAGAGAAGAATTGCTACATTCTATATAGGGTTTTTTCCTCTCCCACTCACCAATGCAGGCCGTATGGTGTTGGGTAAATCCAGGAGGACATTTGCACGTGAAGCCACCGATGGTGTTAACACAGAGGAACTGGCAGTTGTGCTGCTTGGTGGCACACTCATCAAGATCTACAAGGAAATGCAAGATAGCGTTTTGTTGGCTTGGTTCATTTGAACCAAGCCAACAAAACGCTATCAATCAGAGAGGCCACCCCTATGAAGCAGCTCCAAGTTTTGATTTCGAAGTCTGAGATGACTCTGACCAGAAAGAAGGCACAGCAAACGCCAGGAAGGGACATAGGGCATAAAGGTCTGAAAGACAGATAAGGAGTCAAGTTAGAACCCCCTCCCCTCAAAAAAATACAGAGAGATCTTTGGGGGATCCAAGAAAACACAATTCTAATTGGAGAAATGCAGGAATTCCTCAACAACGGAATTTCCAATAAATCATGACATTTTAAACAAATTTTATAATGAAGTAAAAGAGGAATGAGTCTGCAAATTTTTCAGAGCATTGAAAATACCTATTTAAGTTGAAGCAAAGAGAAATGTTGAAGCTGGAAATGAATTTGCTGGCTTAGTTCTTTTGTTTGCTGTTTTTAATCTACTCAATAGAAGTCATCAAAATCTGATTCCTTTAGGGATTCTTCTTAGGATAAAACATAATTGAACAGTCAGAAAGGAAACAAAACAAAGGAAAAATTCACTCTGATAGCTAAAGGCACTTTAGTAAAACTGCCTCCAGGCTGGGCATGGTGTTTCATGCCTGTATTCCCAGCACTTTGGGAGGCCAAGGCAGGCTGATCACTTTGAGCTCAGGAGTTTGAGACCAGCCTGGGCAACATGACAAAACCCCATCTCTAGTAAAAGTATAAAAATTAGCCAGGTGTGGTGGTGCACGCCTGTAATCCTAGCTACCTGGGAGGCAGAGGCTGCAGTGAGCTGAGATCGTGCCACTGCACTTCAGCCTGTGTGACAGAGTGAAACTTCGTCTCAAGAAACAAAAAACTGCCTCTGGTGTTCATCCAACATTATTTTGCACATCTCAATAAAACCTTCTGTTTTGACCAGGCCTCTTTCCTCACCGCCGCAACTTCTAGCTACATTCTCAACTCCAGTGTTATTTCAAAATATCAAGAGTGCTGCATATTCAAAATATCAAGTGCTGCATATTCAGGAATAAACATTAGTGACCTTATTTTATCACAAATTCAAGCACTATACCCCCACCATCTGCACAACTGGGTTGGAGCTAGCTTTGCCAGTGACTGCTTCCACTCCACAGGGCCAGTTCCTGGCTAGAGTAACATCTGGAGTAGACCTACACTGAGAGACCCTCTCCAGACTTGTCCTAGTGCTGGCTTCTCTTATAATGCAGCCTGTCCTATTCTTTGCACTGCTCAGAGCTTGACTGATATGTACTTTCTCTTCAGCTTTCTCAGAGCCTGTGGACTGACTTTTCCTGTATACGGCCCAAGGAGCTTCGCTGGAGCATCACTGCACATTTGCTGAAGCTCATCTGCAACAGGTAAGGAAGATGACTCAGTGATTTCCTCTAACACCGCTTCATGACTACAACACATGAAGAACAGCAGCACTCGCTGTTCTTGCCTCCAAGAATGCCCTTCCTCCTCTAACCTGCATCCTACCCATCTCTCATTGGGGATGTGCTGCTCCCACACTCCTCCCAGGGCCACCCTTCTGGTCTCTTTCTTCTCAGTGTCCATGGTGTACTTACCTGCACCATTCATTTGATATTTAGTAATAGAAACTAAGTAAGTGGAAGAATTTGAACATTATGAGAAAAAATAGGAAAAGGGACAAGTTGCGAGTGGATATGTTGCTCTTTGTTATTGATGCATTTTCATTTTTCACCTTTGAATTGCTAGAAACTTTTGAGCATTTTCTGTCCCCAGAGGTTAGAAAAAAAGCTATGAATTTGTTTGGTTTGTTACAGATAATATATACAATGAGAGATATTTTCCCCTTGAATTTGGTTCTTCAGTTATATGAATACATTTATGGCTCTGAGTTACAGCTTCACATTGCATAGAACTCAGAGTGACCCCAGATGTAAAATAAGTTCCACTCTTCATTTACGATGGTCAAAATGTGTAAGTAGGTCTCTCAACTTCCTCTCCCAAAACTAGAGGATTATACAGGCTTTGTGCTGCACAGGAAGGCCTCCGGCAGTTGCCCGTGACATCATCCTCTGTTACCTGCCTCTTAACTCTCCCTTGCAGCAGACACAGGAAAGAGGTCGAGAGCCCAACTTCTTGCTGTTCTCCACTTCTCTCCTCGCCTCTCCTCCAATCTGGATCCCACCCATCTCTGGGGGGGTGTGCTGGTCCCACACTCTACTCTTCTAGCCTTTCTTGGTTTCAGTGGTACACATAGCTACATCATTCATTTGATCTTTAGTTATATATACCGAGTAAGTGGAAGAATTTAAGCTTTATGAGAAAAAATAGGAAAAGGGACTGGACTCCACTCTACCCTTTACCTTCCTTACTTCTGTATGTTTCTATAAATTTCCTTCAAAGTTCCATGGCATGACATGCTATCTCTTGGTCTACCTTTTCTTCTCCAAATCTCTCATTTCCCAAATTATCATAAAGATTCACTACATATAACGTTCTTAGGAACGGAGAAGAAGATGTTTACAGGAGTCAAATTTACACCAAAAAATTTTGCAAAGGATAACTTCTGGTTGAGAAGCGATTTTTGCTAGTTATTAATTCTGTGTGATACTCATGTTTCAGGGAAGCTCCTAGAAGGCAAGAATGGACTTTTTCTGCAGAACAAAAATATGCACATAGCATCTAATTAACTAGGCACAGTGTCCTCTAGGATCATGGCACTGATTATTCCGAGGCAGGACTTTCCCGGAAACCTGAACTATACGGCTGTATAGAATGAATAGAAAAACCAGAAAGCAGAGAGGAGGTCACCAAGTAAGAATCTGCCCCACCAGAGCCTTTGAGAGCTGACCCTGCCATCTCCGAGATCCTCATGGATGGCTGACATGGATACCCAGGGGGCATGCAGCGAGGATGGCTGCTCCCACTGGTCCTCCACAATCTCCCTGGCTTTAGCCTTTCTCCCTCCAGCGTAGGAGGTGGGTCCCATGGAGGCATTAACCCCAGGGAAGCACCTCCTGCCTGTAAAGCAAGTCTTGCCTGTTGGGTGCATACAGGCAGAGGAATGCAGCCATGTGTCAGGTGCTAGGTGAGGGGCAATGTTAAATTCTACCTTACCTTTGCAGCTCCTTCCATCCTCTTGCAGAATGTAGCCCTTCGGGCATGAACACTGGTAACTCCCTTCTGTGTTTTTGCAGATAAAATTGCAGGGTTTGGGAGCCTGGTTGCACTCGTTCAGATCTATGATCAAAGAAATACAGTGTGATTGTGCATCTAAAAATGATGTCTACATGCTCAATTTCCATAGGGTCTAACAGAGAATTTTAGTTCCGGGGAAATAAAAAGTAAACTCTTTGTAGACTTTGATTTTTATTTTACTCCATAATCTAAAGTTTCTACTTAAGGATAAGCCATCAGAAATAGACACTTACCTACACAGGAAGTCCCAGTGATATCTGGAGTGTACCCAGTTTTACAAATGCAATGATATGATCCTCTGTCATTGACACATTCCCCATTCCGGCAAACATCATGGATAACCTTGCATTCATCGATATCTGTAATTTAAAAAATATGAAATAAGATAAATATACCATAAAACTGACAACATTAATTTGTAGGGGGTCACTTCTGTGCAAATACTAATAAATTGGGTTACTATATTAGGGGCCTAAGAAATTAAACCAATGGGATGACAGCATACATTTAATATGTAATGGTAGCTATATAGAAAGGCAAACAAATAACTTCATTAGACTGTGATTGATAAAATAACTCAGCTACAGAAAATCTTCAAAAACAACAATTGGTCTTCTAAATGTATCTTGTTTTCTCTTCTGGGTCCACAAAACAGGGAGCCCATCATCTCGACATACTTGGCTTTGTGTGTCGTCACATGCCATCAAGCTTGCCTCCTGCTGATACCTCATAAATGAATCCCAGAAGCACAACCTTCGGAGGAGGAAACCCCATTTCCCCCCAATATTGCATGCTCAAAATAAGTGAGTTTTTTTTTTTTTTTTAAACATTATTTTTGTTGTGTTTGGAGTTAATCCTGAAAAAGTTCAAATGACATAATATTGGGGAAATGAGATGAACTTCTGTCCTCTGCTGAGGGGGGAACCAATCAGGGCTCTGGGGTAGATAACAGGGCTGGGGTTTTGCCATCTGCTAAGGAAGGGAGACCCTTACTCATGGCTCTACCACAGAGACAAAGACTGGGTCAGTATGTACTGTTGAACATTAAAGCCACTGTCCTCCACATCTTGACCCATCTACCTCCTTTCTGCTTGGCGAAGTGCCAGTACAAGCTCTTTCCACATGAGTTATCGACCCTTGACTGCCAAATCACCATTTTATACCAACAAACAGCTGGGTGTATCTGACCTTTACAACTGTACTCTGAAGTACAACTCAGCACTTCTTATTGGTCTCCAGAAATGAGTTTTTTTCAACCATCTGATTGTTACAGCCTCTAAAGAATCACAGATTGCTTTGGTCTCTCCATCTTATCTTTGTAGATATGTTTTTTTTTAAAAATCACATCCACTTCCATTATTCTGCCTTCAGCCACATCTTTCCAATGTAAACAGAAATCCTCGTAACCTCCTTCTTCCCCTTCACTTTCAATTCCCTCCCAAGGAGCTCAAAAAAGCTCTCTCCTTTTCTCAGACCTTTTATGAACTAAAAACCAATTGTAGTTACTGTAGATAAACATAGGAATCACATTAGTGACAGGCCTAGACATCTCTAGAGTTGCCTCAGACAGTCCAACACTCTCTTCATCCTTCTCTAGTTCAGTAGCTTGTGCTTTTCCAGATGCAATTGTGTTTAATTGCCAAGATATCAGCATGGTTTATACTTCTTTCATGTAATATAGTTTGGCCACTTTTAGAAGTTCTACATCTTGGTAGACCAGTTTGGGCATTTAATGATCATTTATTTCAAAGTTCATCTAAAAAATTTAAAAAGTTATATTCTGAGCAACCAATTGACTTATAGTAAACTTCTGTTTAAGAAGTTGAAGACTTACTGGGTCCTAAGCACACACAGGTTAATCAAGTGGACCAAGGGCACTTTGGCAGCATGGCCTCAAATGTCTAAAACTCCATAAGGAAGAATTTTTGTTGGGCTCAGCTGTGCAACTCAACCTAGGCACATATTGCAGATTCTATATTTTCATCTGTTTTTTACACACACACACACACACACACACACACACACACACACATTCCCTGCAAGTGTTTTTGGACCATAATGAAGTACCTGCTCCGTTGGTCATGAATCCTCGGCCATGGGGACAAAGTTTCTTGAAAGCCACAGTCCCCTGGAAAGGGCAGATCTCACAGTGGGGACCCCAGCCTCTCCCTCCATCACAGCAGCATTCAGATTTGGTGACGGGGTTCCTGTTGCTGGAGCCGATCTGACACATGTTTTGTAGCACCTCTGTGAAGCAGTACCCTTCCCGATTGTCTGGAAGGGACATTATATGGCAAAGGGGATGTTAGGAAATTTTAAGAGCAAAACAAGGTATTAAAAATTTGGTCAGATATAAAAACCAAAAAGGATGTAACACTTTACCCTGGGTGAGAAGGAGCAAGAGGGGAAAGCTGGAGACAGCAGTAAAAGAGAAAGGATGACGTCTGAGGAAAACAAATAAGACATTCAGTAAGTAGGCAGAAAGACCTTGGCCTAGACACGCTTATAACTCTCTCTGCTCCCAGAAATACAGGGGAATAGCCATGCTTACAGAGAGAGGGGCAGAGAAACATATGGAAATGGATCGCGATCACCAAGGGCTTCAAAGCCAGCCAAGAAATTCCAAACAAATGATTCAAGATCCAATTAGCAAAGGAAGAATTTAGCTGCAGGGTGGTGCTAAGCCCAATGGACAATCACAGTCACTACGGCATCTCCAAAATATGAACATTTTTCATCCTTCCTCAGATTTTGACATTTTCTTGTATTTCAAATAAGAGGTCTGGGTTTCCAGCATCCTAGTGTGGAGGTTAGGAAAGCACGCTGCTGACTGTACTCACCAAGGCACTCGTCCTGGTTGGGGCTGGCAGTGAACCCATCATTACACTCGCAGGTGTAGCTTCCACGGGTGTTGAGACAGCGCCCATTCTCACAGATCCCTGGCTTCGTCTGACATTCATTCTCATCTGTTTGATTTGATGGGAGGACCAAAACCAAGCAGAGTCATTGACTATTTTACAGAGGATGGAGTTCCTTCCTCCTCCCTCCCTTTGTTTCCTCCTTCCCTCTCTCTCATCCTTCCTTCTTAGTTTTTGAATCACTAATCTGTTCACATGGCTCAACATTTAAACGGTATAAAAGGGACTTCATTCATTCCTGTTTGCTTTCACTGAAGGACTGAAAACAGAGTTATCTGAATCTTTGATAGAAGAATGGATTCTCTTCCTTCTTTTCTATATAGTTTGTAAATAGCTTATCTCTTCACGTGGTTCAAAATTAAACAGGGACGAAAGGGGATTCAGCAAAACCCACCCCCTTTGTTCCCTATTTCCCAGACACCAAACTCCCCTTCTGAAAAGCAACCAGTGCTGGGGCCAATATAAAAGCAAGCACATACATAATATATGTATGTGTGTGTGCACTTCTGCTCTTTTAAAAGCATAACTGATGATAGCATTTTATATACTTAAACATAGATGGTAGCATTTTATGCACAATGACATTTTTCACTTAGTAAAAATTAAATCTTTTCATATTAGGACATAAAGAGGTCTCCCAAAGGGTTATTTCCAGTGGAGGGAAAAATGTGAATATCAGCATATGAAAGAAATATGTTAATACACATTAGAATCATGTCTATAATGGTCAATACTGATCTGGGGGAGTTTGTCTAGATTAATCTTCAGATTCAATATAAGTTGTGTTTATTGTCATATTTCAATACTATTAAATCATAAACCACAATTCAGTTTTGCAGGTTTAAAAAAACATTAAAATATGTACAGATTGTTAGAATTATCTGATGGTTATTTAGAGAGATCGCAAATAATTTGCTAAGTGCTTCCCATCTTTGGAGAATAATTCAGGGTGCCTAAGCTGGAGCTCTTACTAGGAGAGGCAGAAAGTTGGAAGGTGACATCAGAACAATGTAAAACAGGGTCAAAACCCCAATGCCCAAGCCACCCACAGACCAATTCAATCAGAATATCTGGGTTGGACTGGAGCTCCCCAAGTGTTTCCAAAGCTTTCAAAGCTGAGGTTGAGAATCACTGAGCCAGGAGGATCCAGTGTGTGATAATCTACATATTTTCTTTCCCTGTGCTTTTAGAGTCTTTAATTATTGCTTCAATCTATATTGTACAGAGTAAACGGGCAATGGGATTCTCAATCTTCTTCACTGACAACATAAAATACATCTTTATAACACCACTTATTTTTAAAAGGAAAGAGAATGCATGTGAGAATATTTTAATAATTTTCTCCTGTAATTACTGTCTAAGCAGAGGTCATGGGTCATATGATCTCTGTTGCAACTACTTGGCTCTGCCACTGTGGCATGAAAGCAGCCATGGACAATATGCAAATTAATGGTTATATCTATGTTTAATAAAACTTTATTTTTAAAAAAACACACAGTGGGCTGGCAGGCTGGAACTGGCCTGTAGGCTCTAGTAGTTGCCAACTCCTGGTCTACAGCTGAAGTTCTCAATGTTGGATCCACATTAGACTCAGATGAGAGCTTTAAAAAAATATCAGTGCCTGGATGCTACTGACCAGATTCTCTGGAGGTAGATCCCAGTGGTTTTGAGATAATCCTGGTTCAGAGGCATGAACCAGGATTATTTGCTACCAGGGTCCTGACATTTATACTCAATGTCAGGGTCCTGGTAGCAAAGTTAAATCAATGGGGAGGCATTCCAATGTGATGGGGAGAATTAACCCCCCAATTAACAAAAAGTATGGAAAGTAAAGTAGGGGAAGAGAGAAAAGGCATGCTGTTCAAATCCTGGCAGCAAACATGTCAAGAAAGTAGAGAGAAAGGCCAGTTGAGAGGGAGAATGACCGCGCTCCTAGAATTCACAAATGATCAAGAGGCAAGAGCACCGCCATGGAGAGTCTTGACTTGAGATAAGTGAACACAGTGTCACAAGAACTCAGAGCCCAGGTTCCTTCTGCCCACGGTCACTTCTAGCACACTCAAAGCTCCTTCCACAGGGATCCTCTTACCTACACAGCCTTCTCCATCAGGTCTCCGCTGATACCCGGGTCCACAGATGCACATGTATGTGCCAATGAGGTTCTTGCATTCCATTTGTTTTTCAGTACAGTCATGTTTTCCCTCCTCACACTCATCCTCGTCTGTAAAAAATGTACAATTGCAAATTTTTCAAAAAAATGCATATATCTGCCTGACTTTTAAACACAAAATGTTAGTAAGTAACCAGTTTTCATCTATGGTATTTCAGTATTGGCTGTATTTCCTTCTGCTGTGTTGAGTATGATCTCTAAAGAATGGAATCTTCTAATCACCTTTGAACTTGAAGAAATTGCTCCCTAATCAATTGACAACCTCTTCAAGAAGCATGATTTTAATCATGCCTTTTCTCTCTTCTCTTCCTTTTTTATTTATTTTTGTGACAGAGTCTCTCTCTGTTGACATGGCAGGAGTGGAGTGGCCCGATCTTGGCTCACTTCAACCTCCGCCTCCTGGGTTCAAGTGATTCTCATACCTCAGCGTCCCCAGTATCTGGGATTAAAGGCATACACCACCAAGCCTGGCTAATTTTTTTTTTCCTGTATTTTCAGTAGAGACAGGGTTTCACCATATTGTCCAGGCTCGTCTCAGACTCCTGGCCTCAAGTGTTCCACTCACCTCGGCCTCCCAAGGTGCTGGGATTATAGGTGTGACCCACCATGTCTGCTTGTCCCTTTCTTTTTATACTCCTTTGTTGAAGCATGATTTCTAATTCTTTTTGACTAATTTAAAAGGGCCTCATGTAATTATAATACAATGGATATATCTTAATATAACAATTGTAGCAGCATCATAATCACAATATATAATGCAATAATTGTAACAGTACTACAATCATATAAGAGTAACAAATCAAAGCTTACATTATACAATAATTATATAACACAATATATTATTATTTTTTGAGATACAGTCTTACTCCATCATCCAGGCAGGAGTGCATTGGCACCATCTCGACTCACTGCAAACTCCGCCTCCCGCGTTCAAGCTATTCTCCTGCCTCAGCCTCCTGAGTAGCTGGGATTACAAGAATGCGCCATCATGCCCAACTAATTTTTGTATTTTTAGTAGAGACAGAGTTTCGCCATGTTGGCCAGGCTGGTCTCGAACACTTGACCTCAGGTGATCCACCCACCTTGGCCTCCCAAAGTGCTGGGATTATAGGTGTGCGCTACCACGCCTGGCCAATATAATATGATTTTTATATGATAATGTTAATAAATAGGATACAATAGAATGACTTATGTAATAAGAGCTTTGGTTTTTATACTTTAATAAAAAGCCAAACATCTGCAGATATCTTATTCTCTACTGGTTCTTTCCTCCTTCATATCCTTTTCTGGACTTGGTTGGGCCTTCCTCAGTCTTTACTTTCTGTCCCATTGTATTTCTTTCTTTCCCTTTTACATAGTCTGAGGTGAGAAATTTGAAATTTATTCTGCATATGATTAGGACCTTTCATGTAGGAAATCTCCTCACCCTTAAGCAAAATTGTATTTACATCATCTTGAAAGAACAGGTGTTTGTTCATTTAAGATCTTGAGAGGAGCAAATCGGAGCTCTTCAAGCGCAAACTCTATGATTACTGAAATTTGTTAAATAGAGCCTAGTTCAGTGCTTAGGAAATTGCAGGTGCTCAGGAGGCATTTTTAATGGAGATGGTTTAGCTAAAGTAGATTTCACATGTTACCTCATTCTTAAAACAGAATATCCTTTGGTGTTCTCAGAGCATTATATATATATATATATGTGTGTGTGTGTGTGTGTGTGTGTATGTGTGTATAAAACCACCATAGCATTTATCACACTGTATTACGATACCTTATTTGTTTCTATCTATCTCAGTTTCTTCATATTGGGTGTTCTGAATGTGGGGAAATGTCTTTTGCTTTATATTCCCACATCCTGTAGAAATACCAGCATGTTGTGAGTATGCAATGTACAGTGAGTCCTAATAAAGGATCTGCAGTGCAGTCCTCAACTTGGCTTGATGATGCTTCCAGCTACGATTTAGGGGAAAACATGGCAGTGACAACCCCCATATTGTCCCATGGACTATTTATATTCCCCAATTCCCAGCCCTCCCCTACTAATGGAAGCTCTGAGGGACATCTCTCCTCACAGAGTTTCCTGGTTTAGATGACCTTGAACACGATGACTCACCTCTGCACATCCTACGGTCTTCTCTGAGAACATATCCCACAGGACATTTGCATTCATATGATCCATAAGTGTTCACACATCGGAAGGCACAGAGCAGAGGATTCTGGGCACATTCATTTATATCTGCAACAGAAGAAAGTAAGAAAATAAGGGATCATGGACAGCAACAAAAACTAAAAACTCAAACTTTCACCAACAGTTGCAATGCTTCATTGTCATAAATATGGATGCATAAAGCGGTCTCCTATTTCCAGGCAATTATAAAAGGGTTGATTATTTCATAGTTGTATAAGTAGGGTGACCATCCATCCTGGTTCTCCCAGCACAGTCCTAGTTTATGTTTGTTATTCTGGTATAATTATTAATGATTATTTAGGTGGATGGGAAACTACAGGCCACCCTATGTATGAGGGACTTTTCTGAAATTCTGGCTTTGAAGGCTCAGGTTGACCATTTGCCACTCCCTACAGTGACATGGCATGGGAATCCGTTTTCTCCCATTCTGCCAAAATGACTGTGGGCAGAACAGAAACTAACTCCTCCAATATTCTTAAACCACCTCTCTCCCCCCAAACAAAGAGGCTCCTGTGAAATAACAGCGATTCTTCTGCCCAAGCAAATAGTGTTACAGATCATTTTATACTGACAGAGACACTTGGTTTACACAAATGTCCATGTTGAAACCTTAAATAGATGAGAATGATTTACCATTAATGGAAAAAAAAAAGTTATTTCTGTGGAATGCAGAGTTTGGAACCATCAGAATGTGTTTTGGAAAAGCAGGGTTAAAATAGACCATCTCAACTATCATGTTGCTCCCGAAGCCCAGTGCTGACTGAGAACATGAGTGAGGGCCCAGATCATGACTTAGTCACAACCTTTACAGATTTACCACAACTCTGACAATGGGCATGGATGGGTCCTTTCTGCGGAAGAACTCTCTTTGCATCAACTTTATCCTCTGCCTTTACTTCTCCTTCATTCTTGCCTTAGGCCAGTGAATCCCTACTTGAGAGTGTATCAGATCACCTAGAGGGCTGCTGGGCCCCACCCCACTCCCCGAGTTTCTGATTTAGGAGGTCTTGGATGAGACCTGAAAATGTCGTATTTCTAGTAAGTTCCCAGGCGATGCTGATACAGCTGCTCTTGGGAACCAACGTTTGAGAGCCACTGCTCTAGATACTTCCTCCCCTTTCCTTCTTCCTATACATTCTACCAGGCTTATGGATGGACACTTTACAGATGCTTATATAGTATAGGCATCCGCTTTTGCTGTGATTGCTTCCAGATGGCTACAGGATGTTGGTGGTTATCTCAGTGTGCAGTGCTTCTAGAAACAGAAGAGAAAGAAAAAGAAAGGGAGCACGAGAGACAAACAGAAGGGGAAAGTAAGAATAAGAAAGAAGGTAGTAAACAACACAGGGGCATCTAAATATAAATAATAGGGAGACGCCAACAAGAACTCTCTGAGATACAGTGTAGACGCATGCGCCATGAGCACACAGCCACATCTTTCTTGGATATCTCCCTTTCCCTGCAGAGAAGAGGCCACAAAAGAAGAATGATCAAATGGCCCATCAGGCCTAGATGATCTTTATTACATACACCCTCAGTAGTATTTAATATTAAGACTTGTAATCAACTAACTGTTCCCATGATCAGTACATGTAATCAACTGTTCTCGTTTAAGAGACGTACCTTCACATGTCATCATTGGACCCGGCTCAAATCCCTCCTCACAGGTGCATTCGAAACCTCCAATCACATTCTTGCACGTTCCATTTCCACAAGGATTGCCCACAGAACATTCATCAGTATCTGCAAGCAACCAAGTATGCCCAAAACATGATGAACTAATACCTTTTATTCTATCAGAGTATTTTGAACTGTAATTTTTTTTTTTTTTTTTTTTGAGACAGTCTCACACCATCATCCAGGATGGAGTGCAGAGGCATGATCTTGGCTCACTGTAACCCCTGCCTCTCAGGTTCAAGAGATTCACATGCCTCAGCCTCCTGAGTAGATGGAATTAGAAGTGCACACCACCACGCCCAGGTAATTTTTAAATTTTTAATAGAGATGGGGTTTTGCCATGTTGGCCAGGCTGGTCTCAAACTCCTGACCTCAAGCAATCCATCCACCTCAGGCTCCCAAAGTGCTGGGATTACAGGTATGAGCCACCATGCCCAGCTTAATGTATAATGTTTAATTTTCATTCTGTTCTTGCAACAAAGGAGTGTGCATGTCTTATTATCTCAGGTTTACAGCCATGAAATTTGGCTTGCTCAGTGACAATGACAGTGAGGATGACGGTGCCTGACATCTAGCCCTTACAGTGCTCTTCTCCACGGGTTTCCCCAGTCTCCCGCATTATAAGCTAAATCTTCTACTTGGAGCAGATGCTCTAAGGGTTTAAAAAAAAAAAAAAAAAAAAGCCTCCTACAACCCATCAACAGTTTCTGCTTGTTTAAAGCTAGAAATACATCTCCAGTTTGGCCTTACATCACTCCCCAAGAAGCCTTAAACATGATGGATTTTTGCCAGATATAAAATAAAAGACTAAACTTAAAAGACCAGAGGTTAAGTAAAATTAATATAATGAATAAAATCAAGATTCAAGTAGATTTTGTTGATTCTGTTGAACCCAGATGGTTTAAATTAGGCAGAGGAATGGCTAGAAAATATATATTTAGGTTATGATCACTCTAAAACACAAGCAGAGAGAACAAATCTTAGAAAGACAGACACACACACGTGCGCCTTCTAACCCATCCACCTAGAATACTCGCTGTTCTTATTCTGACACATCCTTTGGGGAGAATATCGCCCCTTGGCAAAGAAATAATTTTGAGAAATAACATTTGCGCTATCTAAGGCACAGAAGAGTAATGGCTCTTGTCAAGGGTTGTATCTTCTGCTGAGGTTCTTAAGTCAAAAGGGGAGGGAAGAGCCTAAGGTGGGCGCTCCTAGGTGAAGAGGCTTATTTCGCATGCACATATTAGCACGAACTGAAGAGTCCAAGAAGAAAACATTGAAAATTTGCTTTTGCTTTACTGTCATATTAAATCATATTGCACTGTCAAGAATATTATTTCTCTTTCAAGGTAATAAAAATCCCAGTATCACTGATCTTTAGAGCTACAAAGGTAATTAGAAATGTGATTTTACCTACATGATATTACATTCTAAGGCCTGGAAAAGCTAAAAATCTTGCTAAAACTCCCACAGCCAGAGCTGGAGCTGAAATCTTCATGACCTGATTTCCTTATGGAAAGAGTACTTCCTAATTCACACAGACACACTCTCAGCATTTGTGCTAGTATTAATTAGGTTATATTGAATTGCTTTGCAATTCTTACATAACTAAATATAATATTTGGATTTAACTTAGAGTTAGTGTTGATTAAGGGTCAAAGGCCAGCCATTGGAGCCATTATTTGACATTTTAAAAACAGTTACAACAAGAAGATTGTATACTGGGAATATAACTTTCATGTTACTAAATGTAAATGAATCCAGATAACATTTTTATTTAGTAATGGAATGAGATTATGACCATTAACAATTTTTTAAAAATTTCACCAAGACTTTCATTATGATGTTGTCTTTTCTATTATTTCTTAAGACATGTCGAGTGTCTGCCTTCCCCATTAGACTGTGAGGCCCATGCAAGGAAGGAACTTGTCTTCTGGGTTCAGGGCTGCAGCCCCAGAGCAGCCTGCACAGTGCCTGGCTCCTGATGGTGGCTCACTAGTATTTTAAATGAATGATACATCAGTGGATGGATAAAACTTACGTCAGTGCCATCTTGGAACCTATATTCATGGCTATACAGTGAATGCTGTATAGCTTAATTTCTAATTTGTAAAATTCCAATGGAAGAGAACTAATTACTCACCCACACATTCGTTCCCTGCTAGAATATAACCAAAGGGACACTCGCAGCGATAGGAGCCATCTGTATTGATGCACTGCCCATGTTTACAGACATCGGGTTCTTTGCATTCATCCATATCTTAAGCAAGAGAAAAAAAAAATAGTGAATAACAAGGTATTTTTGAAACACAAACTATGATCATTTCAGTGTTTAATCAATAGAATATCTAATATTATAACGCAATAATATTATTATATAATCGAGTGGTAAAACAGTAACACTTCATTTTCCAAGATAGATGGAGAGAAATAACAATAACTGAAGAAGAAGCTGATTGAGAATACTGAGAAATGCTGAGAATCCAGCACAGGCAACTGACCAACTGCTGAATCATCAGGTCCCACGATGATCCCACTTCCGTAAGGACAGATCTGGCGGAAGGCCTCTGTGGTGGAGACACTCATTAATAGATACAACAATAGCAATTCATTACAAGCTTCTCCGTAAGCATTTTGAGGCAGCCAAATTGCCACATGCTGTGCATATTGATAAATGACGGACAAGACAAGCCCAGAAAACAGAGGAAGTTAACGAGACTCCCTAAGATGTTGTGCCTACTCCCTGGGCATCTATGATTCATGACATAATTAAAAAGAAAATTACTACCGAGCTCCTGAGATAAAATAATTTTAATGAACATTCTAATTAGACTTATAATTAAATTAAACTGTCTTACTGTCTTTAAAGCCTACTATCTTACTTACAGCGTGGCCAGTCTGCACCTTGGATGGCCCAAAGAGAAATGCAGATGACAGACATACCATCAGGTTCAGTGGGGCACAGTTCGCAGGGGTCTCCCCAGCCTTCTCCCTTCAACGCACAGCAGCATTCCTGCTTGGAGTGATTTCTGGATTTGGGTGATGAACACTTTCCTCCTTCAAACTTTGCGTAACAGTAGCTCATTCGCAAATCTGCAGCATAAAGTTATGACAACCTTCAATTGCTTTCCTACTGAATCTTTATTGTATGATAATGAATAAAGAACAACCCACTATATTATATGTGTTCTCCTTATGTGATTATAATGGCAACTGAGCTGAGATTGTTAAAGTCATAGGCATCTTTTGTATAGTGAGATCTGATGAACAACCCCATAACCTTAAATTTGTTACTTCTCATTTTAGTCACTATTTCAAAGTAACCTGCTTTGAATCCAATAAAATCCCAAACTGACAGTTTTCATAATTGACACCTGTTAGTGACTTCAGGATTGGAAAATCCACAGATGGAATCATTTGAAAGATTCCTTCATTGAGAGCTTTGTTTGCAAGATCATGCTTAGTGAGCACACTAGAGTAAGAGAAACCTCTTAGTTCTAATATGTACTGTGATATCACACTTTATTGTTTATTCTGTGTCCCCTAAACTCTGGAACCAAAATAAAATCCCAGATCACAGGCACAGAGCAAATACAGAAGTGGCAACTTTGTAGGTGGGCAAAAATACAACACAAGGGTTGGTCAGTGAAGCAGATACTTTGAGATGCTGGCTACAAAATCCAAGTGGGACTTTTTGCAGATTTTACACACACACACACACACACACACACACACACACACACACACACACACACACAGAGCTGTGTCAATGTTAAATTTTTAAAAGAAGCTTTTTTAGCTCAACACAGAGAGGGAAGGAAGAGGAGGGCAGGGCTGTGGATGGGTGGGAGCAGAATAGTCTTTCTTTGAAAGAATATATTTCTTCAATATTGATTATTGCTTGATGACTCCAACAAAAAAGATGCGATCTACTTCCTACAAAATTCTCCAACACTGCTTGACATAATTTTGGAAACGGGCTTTTCCATTTCTTACAGAACAAACTGGGTGACTCTAAATAAGAGTGAGCTCACCCAGAGGTATGGAACGTGTTTTCCCTCCAACTTGACTTACAGCCCCGCAAAACGCCTCTCATTACACAGAGGCCACAGTCTTCAGATTTAAAAGAAATGCTTTCATACCCAGACTGTACTATTCTTCTTTCTTTATATCTGACCACCTCTGTCTTTTTCCTTCACTTCCATTACTGTTTTTCAACGCTAGAAAGCATACTATCATAACCACCTAAGCACTTCTGTTAAAACAATTTTATTTCATGACAAAGAAGACAATGTAGGAATAACAGAGTGCCAGAGATAACAAAGGAAAGGTTTTCATGAATTAAAGTTTTAAATCTATCTATCTATCTATCATCTATCTATCTATCATATTAGTTAAGTTCAGGTAGCCTCCCCAATGAAGTTGCTCAGTCTTTCATGGCTACCAACTCATCCAAATAAATCCTCTCTCCAATTTCTATTCCACACCCCCACCTGTTGTGGCTAAGACCTGGGAAGCACCTTTCAATGATTATCCTTCTGAAGATCAAAAGCAATAAAAGTCAGTTCTTGTCCTGCAGCATCTCTGCCACCCAAATATTTGCTTTGCAGAGAAACTTCAAGATGGAACAAATTCTCATTTCTTGGAGAACACCTTTTGATCTCTTTTATTCTTCAAGTTCTTTGTCACATATAATGTTTTGTATTTATCAGTCTTGTTTTTATTATTTATGCCTCCAACTACCTTAAGATATAATTCAGTGACTACTCACAAAAACGTCTCAACACATATATGAAAACTTAACTCTCTGCTTTGTCTTCCAGTTTGTAGTGTTTCTTTAAATATGTATATTCTAATATTGGTGTGTTAAAATTCTCAGTCTCTTTTCCTTTCATCGCTGACCTCGTCCCAGACCCCAGCTCTATCTCCCCCATACCACTCCACTCCACCCTGATAAAAGAAATCTCGGCATTAGTCAGAGACTCAAACGCATGAAGTTTTGAGTCAGCCTAAGCGGCAAATTCCCTTTGTTGAACTTTGCAAGTGGGACTGGCTCAATTACACCTGTGATCTTTAGTGCCACGATCTGTCCACCGGAGTCCCGTGACATTCACTTTTTAAAAAACATTATCCACAGTTTTGTGGAATTTTCTCAGTTCATGGGCAATAGAAGTCTGACTCCTAATTTATCATCTTAAAAGAAAAACCCAGCTCTCAATGACCTGGCTCTAGCAAAATCTGTGCTCTGTAAGAGATTTACTTTAGCTTGTGGTGATTCTCTAGATTGGTTTATTAATCAAGGGTGCCTCATGTTGGGAAAGAGAGCTGTACTCACCCACATACTTTAACTAGGACTCGCTGGGATGCCTGTTTACCAGTCCATCTGCCAATAGCCCTTAATGACCTTGAAATTTCATCAGAACTACAAAAGTCACTTTCCCTGCTTGCATTCCTCAGTTCTGGCTCTGCCTCCTGGAGCTGAGCATGTGGCAGGGCTGCTCACAGCTGGGCTGATTCTTCCTGCAGTGTTAGCTTGCTCTGTGATGGGCCAGTGCAAATTGAATTAATAGCCTAGGAGTTTCCCCTGGCCTGCCACATCGGCAGATTCACACCTGGTTTCTCACTGCTTTCTTTCCAATTTCAGGCCAAGCCAAAGGCACACAAAAACAAGGGAGCAAGAGTTAGAATTTATCTGGCTGGTCTGTACCACACAGAATATCTGTTCGAATGAAGCACCACCCTGAAATCCACGCAGACCACTGACAACTACCAACAAGCTGAAATCGACTAGAGAATTCTCAACCTGCTCTCCTTCTTACTTCCAAAATACCTAGTTGAAAAGTAAAAAGTTACTCAGACCATTAGAATAACAACAAGAGTCTACAAAGGACTCAGAAACTAGCAAAGCTTTGTCACATATTCAGTAAGACTGGTTGGGCAGATATTATTGTTGTTTAAAATGAGGAAATCGAGCTTCCAAAAGATTAAATGGCTTGCTCTAGGCTACATATGGCAGGGCTGGGACCCCAAACCCAGGATTTTGAATTTAAAATGATATCCAGTGCCTGTTCCATATTTGGTAATATGAAAGCAAAAACAAAAAACTATGGGGAAAAAAAAAAACTCAACAACCAAAAAAACCCCCAACTCAACACCAAAACAACAGTAACAACCAAACAACAGAAGATACAGGTGAAAAAAAGAGAAATACATGTGTTTGTTTCATCTCCCTCCACCGGAACTCATGAAGCTCCCTTATGTATGTAGACAAGCATACACAATTGCATTGTTTAGAAAAGTCTAAACAGTTTTCTGACGTAAGCACACACTGTGTTATGCTGAAGTTCAGGATCCTTTTTATTTGTTTAAATTGTGAAAGTCAGCTGGCAAACCCTTGAAAATCTTTACTGAAACAGTTGACAATTATTATTCCTAAAAATGGACCATGGCCCAGCAAGAATCCTGGTCAGTTTAAATTTATTTTTTGTTTTCTTGGATAATTTGTGATACAAGGGATGAGTACCATATCCTAGAAGCAGATGGGTTAATGTGCAGTTTTTCAGTCTCAAGTCTAAGTTTGAACCCCTATTTTTCAGCTTATCTCTTCAGAGGTGGGGATATGTAGCTCAGCTTCCATCAGGCTTTGCTGTTTCAGTGGCTCAAGGTGCTTCCTCACTGATGGGCCTATCAGCATTTGTGTTCTTAGTGGGAGAGAGGTTTAAGTGTCAGTACAGCTGTATAAGCAACCATAACTTGATGGATGAGTTTTTAACCTTAAACGTGAAAATGAACCTTCTGACATATGGTTATCATTAGACCTCTGGGTAAGTGAAAACTCTGCATCTTCTTGTTCACAAAGAAACAGAGTTTTGCCATGTTTGAAAAATGAGACCACAACAAATAAACATGGAGTAATGAAACCCCAAAGTCTTCAAAGACACTTACCTTGGCACCTTCTTCCAGTGGAGGACAAGGAAAACCCTTCTGGACACAGACATTTGAAGCTGCCTTCAGTGTTACTGCATGTGCCCAGGGCACAAATTTCTGGCTCTTCAACACACTCATCAATATCTAAAAGAATCATGAGTCAAACAAAGTCAAAACATGATGGAGACACCATCAGGTACCAAATACACAATGTGGATGTACAATGGGCAACTGCGTTTCCAGACTCTTACAATAATAAAGGCATTTTTCTGTACCATAATGCTGTGGACTGCACTTCTAGGTTGTCATGACTTTTAAAAAATTAGTTTTGACAATTATTGATAAAAAAATAGAACGTGCAACTGCCTTCTAAGGGGTGCAGTGACAAACCTCTCTTACCCAGACTGAATTGCCTGGCTAACTAGAAAAGTCAGAGTAATTTCATACCACCCTAAGCCAGGAAAGAAGCATGAAACTGTTGAGCCATACTGCACCATTGTTCTGAGACTTTAAGCACATTGATAGTGAGTTACTCAATGTGAGATCTAGGCCTTGGAACCAAACTGATTCCCCTCCAACCATCCACAGAACTTTTCCCAATACCCCATGCTAGAGCCCTAAAGCTGAATTTTACAACAGCAAGACTCATGACAGTAAAGTATCCTGTGAAGTGCAAACTAAAGATATCAGAGAAAATGAGGCTCCTAACTGATTTGTGGGTCAATCTTTCCAAAGAAAGAAAAATATCTTTCTTGTAAAGGCTTTTTCTTGCATCATATAGATAATAGGAAACTGGTACACTTAGGATTGTGGCAAGTTTTCTTTAGTATATTATACATCTTAGCTCCTGTACAGGGATAGTTAAGAGTAGCCAACATCAAGTTTGAATGGCTTGAGTAACCATATGTCCTAGTTTGCCTGGGACAGCCCCAGGTTATGGCAGTTGGCCTGACTTTATTGTTAATAGTGCCCTTTTCTACTTTCAGAATTGGCTTGGTTTGATCAATATGATTACTCTACCTATGGAAAAAGTATGTCCACTCTACTCCAAACTCAAACTCACTCATCTTTCCTCCTGACTTTCAGCAGGAATTTGTAGTGAACAAAGTGGTAAGTCTTAATTTTGAGCCATGCTACTTTTATTTTTATTTTTTATTATTATTTTTGAGACAGAGTCTCCCTCTCTGTTGCCCAGGATCAAGTGCAATGGTGCAATCTCGGCTCACTACAACCTTTGCCTCCCAGGTTCAAGTGATTTTCCTGCCTCAGCCTCCTGAGTAGCTGGGATAACAGGCATGTACCACCACACCTGGCTAATTTTTATATTTTTAGTAGAGATGGGGTCTCAGCAAGTCAGTCAGGCTGCCCTCGAACTCCTGACCTTGTGATCTGCCCACCTTGGACTCCCAAAGTGCTAGGATTACAGGCGTTAGCGACCACGCCTGGCCGAGCCATGCTACTTTTATGGGATTTTTTTTTTCAACGAAACATCAAATATCCTTGTATCCTGGGGCTCTTTATTTTCACATTTGTGCAAAGGTTTCTAGCCACACCAAAATGTGTTTGCATTACACAACTTTGTTCTCAAGAGGCCCAACTAAGGAAAAGTTGAGAAATTAACTCTATTATCTTGATTTACTATTGTAAATACCACACAATATATATTCTACAAATGTGCAATGCCAAGTGATTTTCTTTCTGTGCAGTGCAAAATCAGCTTCTTCATCATGCCAGGTTATTGGGTTGTGTTTATACCTGTGTAATGTTCCCTGTGGTTTATTAATGAATCTGAGCTACTACTGATGATTGAATTAATCCATTCTGACACTCCTTCCACCCCCATACTCAACCTTTTCTTAATAGAAAAGTTAACTTTTGTAAAAATGCTCAATTTTGGGGGGTTGTTTTTAATTATTATTACTATGACCATTTCTGTTATGGTAGATATTAGCCTCTATGTGCCAACTTATTGGGATAGAGCCAAATTTTGTAGAATGGGCACATTCATTGACTGTGCAGTCATTTTTCTTTCTTTATATCTTAATTCTGTCCATTTTAGGGAACTTATGCACTGATAATAGAGTAAATTTTTAATAAAAGTAAAATAACATGCTTAAAAATTTGCATCTAGACAATTTCAATAAGGTGTTTCCATTTAAAATATCACCACTTGATTATTTAAATTGGATATATAATAAAATTTCTAATTGATGATATTAAAAATAGAGAACATTCTCATTGTGGATTAGATGCAGACCTTTTTAAAGTCAGGGGCGTGAACTAGGTGACTTCTTGAAAATCCTTTCAACCTTACTTATTTATGAAATTCTAGCAATTAATATTCTTCACTTAATGCTATGACATATTTGTTGAACTTAAAGGGATGTCCTTTGGAGGCTAAGGAGTAAGGATCGTTTGAGACCAACCTGGCAACATAGAGAGGCCCCATGTCTACAAAGAAGTAAAAAATCAGCCAGGTATGGTGGCACATGCCTGTAGTCCCAGCTACTCCAGAGGCTGAGACAGGAGGGTCGCCTGAACAGGAGTTCAAGGTTACAGTGAGCTATGCTTGTTCCACTCTACTCCAACCTGGTGACAGAGTAAGATCCTATCTCTATTTTTTTTAAAAAAGGAATATTATAAAGCTTGCTGAGAATTTATTTCAAATAACACATTTCCACTGCTCTATAGGTAAAAACAAAATAGACAAATGATAAAACCACATTCATCCAACCTTGAATGTGGTCATTTAAAGATTTTAACTGGAATCAGGAGCTTTTTTAGTCGCAAAGGATTGCCACTTAAAAAAAAATCTAACGGAAGTGGGACAGCATTCTTACCAACTGTGTAAAAGCACAGTGAAAAAGACTCAGGATCGGATGATCGGTCATATGCACAAAGCAAAATAACTTCATTAGAGATTAGCATGAGAATTAGTGCTTCCTGTCTTGCCAGAGGATGAGACAATGTCATACCCTACGCCCTTGGATTTGTTTCTTATAAGCTATTCCAAAATGAAGACATCATCACAAAAACCCTCATTTTGGTAAGTCTGGTGAAGTTCCCGATACTCCTCATTTGCTAACATTGATAGCCTTCCTACCTTCACACTTGTCCTTTTGAAGACTGTATCCAGGTGGACAAATGCATCTGTAGGACCCATCCAAGTTTTGACAGGTACCTGGTGCACATTTTCCTGGTTCTAGAAGACATTCATTGATATCTGCAAAGAAAAGGGAAAAAGAAGAGGTTCCCACTGGCATGACTTCCAACAAACAATTAAAATTGAAAAAAAAAATAGAATAAATCAAAGAAATACATAAAGCAAATTAAAGTTCATAAAATTCCACCATGAAGAAAAATAAGTGACAATAAAAACAAGCTTTACCAGCTTTCAAAAGTATACAGAATAACACCATATTTTATTTTACCTGCCACAAATTAAATATTTCCAGAAAATTGTAGCATGTCAAAGTAAGTGAGTATATAAAGATTTTAAGGATACCCAAAATATGAGAGCTTACTACAAAAGTATTTTAAAGAAAAAAATATAAGAAGGGAAATCATAATTGCTTACAGAGCAATTTAACAATTTCACTGTTTTACAGTATTCTCTGTGAGTACAATAGCTTTAATTTTTAAAATAAAGGAAAAAGTGATTTTATACACACACACACACACACACACACACACACACACACACTCTCTCTCTCTCTCTTACATGTATATATGTTTAAATAAAAACAAAGCCTTTATAGGGAGGATTAATATAATTCTATTTTGACTTTTCCTCCAGGTTTCCAGAAAGAAGCATTAGAATAGAGACTGCATGATTCATTGATTGGTCTCTGGAAGCATTCTTTCCAGGTCTTTCCAAGCCCTGTACTTACCCACACAGGTCCTCCCATCTGGAGCCACCTCATAGCCATCATTGCACTGACACTGGAAAGAGCCGACTGTATTAATGCATTGGCCATTTCTGCAAAGATTCCCGTTTCCACTTGCACATTCATCAACATCTGCAGAAAAAACCCCAACAATCCCTTAATATATTCCAAAGATGTCATAATCCCAGCAATAATCAAAACTTTTAAAGGAAAAGATACTTTTTTCTGAATTCTAGTGGCCTTTCTTGGCTTAGCCAAACAAGAAATTCCAATGAAGATCTAGCTGGCAGCAAGAGAACTGGCTTTAAGCACCTATGCACATTTAACAATAAGATTACATTATTATATTTAAATTTACATGACAATTTACATCTAAATTTCCTACCCGTTTTACCTTGATTTTCCTTAAGATTTTATTTTTAAGTTTTAGATTTAAATTTTTTTTAGATTTAAAAAATAAAATCCTAGTACACAATTCAGCTGAGGCCATTGTTTTGTATTCTTGCAATTAGAAATATTTAAATTAGCCTATAGTACAATAAAATTTAAAAATTTGGTTTATTACTCTTGCCTTATATGTTTTAGAAGGGAGATTTTATAGATTCCATGATTTACTTAAGAGAGGCTGCAGCAAAACATCTAGACCAGAAGGTTCCTATTCCTGAATCATATAATTCTATACAAAGAATCACTTTTGTATATTTTAAAATTTTTAAGAATCTCATTCCATTTATTTTGAAATATATTTAATTTACAGCAAAGTAGATTGTAACACTCATTAGCAGCTATAATTTTTATACTTTGCTGTAAATTAATTTTTTTTACAGCAAAGTATAAAAATTTAAAAATTAATTTGCAGCAAACTGTAAAAATTATTATAGCTGCTAATGAGCATTTTAGTAAAAGTAATGGATATAGTTACAGTGGTTCCCCCTTATCTATGGTTTTGCTTTCTGGGGGTTCAGTTACCCAAGGTCAACAGTGATCCCAAAACAGGTGAGTATAGCACAATAAAATATTTTGAGAGAGAGAGAGAGATGGAGAGCAAGAAAATACATTCACATAACTTTTATTACTGTATATTCTTATAATTGTTCTATTTTCTTATTAGTCATTGATGTTAATCTCTTACCATGCCTAATTTATAAATTAAACTTTTGTCTAGGTATGTATGTATAGAAAAAAACACGACATATAAAGGGTTCAGTACTATCTGTGGTTTTAGACATCCGCAGGAGGTCTCAGAAAGTATCCTTCAAGGATAAGGAGAGACAAGTCCTGTTACCAATTGTTATGCATAAGATAGCATATATTTTTGAAAGACAGCTAGAGCACTAGAGATGATGCTAATTACAAAGAACACATATAAAACTGACTTGCTTTGCTGATGCACACTTTTGCACACGCACCTATGCAGTCATTGTTGTGAGACAAGATGAAACCATGATTGCAGCGGCAGTTGAAGGAACCAATTGTGTTCCGGCAAGTTCCATTCCCACAGGCATCTCTTTCACATTCATTTATGTCTAGTAGGAAGAAAAGCCATAAAGAAACATATTATAAATAGAAAAAGTGGTTACATGGTTACAGTGGCTAAAGAGCATTTTAGGGTTCAGAAAGCCTCTCTAGCAGCAGTCATCCCTGCAAGAAACCACGCAGAGGCAAACTCTAAACCTTGGGAATAAACGGTTTCCTTGGCTGGCCAGTGAAAGGAGGCAAGCTAAGGACATGAGACCTGAACAAGAATTATTCTATTTACTTCTAGAATTCTCCACCCTTGCCACTTTTCTCAAATATTTTCACTTGAAAATGGAAAAAACTGTGTGTGCATCTGGGTCTCGAGGTGTTGCCACCTTTGGCAAACTTCAACCTTTAAGATTCTCACTCCAATTTACCAAAAAGCAGTGACTCACCTGGCATTACCCCACAATCAGCAACAAAATAACTCGGCTTTCTAGCTCACCTGTCATTTCAGACAACTTTTCCTTTTCCCTACGTCCCTAAACACATAGGACCACTTCCACCAATGATGGCTTCTCTCACTCTTCTAAACTACCCCAACGGGATGGTACTTAATTCGTTCTTCTCATACATGCTTGCATTCTTGTTCACCTTTTGATTGGTCTGTGCTTTTCTCTGACAACTTTGTAAAGCTACTCTGACATCTTACATGTCCTTGCATCTTATCACAAGAGCTGGCATGTTTCTTATAAAGAGTAGGTGCCATTATATTAAGAAGGAAGTAAGAAAAATATTTAATGAAAGAAAGTTGTTACTGCTGGTTTGAAAGAATGAGGCACCATGAGGAGGGACAAGGATGAAGGAGGAGAGAGAGAGAGAGGAAGGTAACAACAGAGAATGGCAGAATGTAATGAAGAGAGCTGGGATTTCCTTTCTTTTCACATTTTGGACATGAAGGTAAATTATCCGTGATTCCTGAATCAGGAAGCTATTGCTAACCCAAAGGGACTCTAATGTGTCTGTGTGTGTGTGGTTGAAGACTACACCCAGTTGAGTCATTGCTAGCAATCAAGAATTTCTGTCTTGATTAATTCTTAGCCAAACTGGTGAAGGTCTTTGGTAGGGGAGGTTCTATGTTAGGAGGTTCCAAAAAATTCAGATGAGAGAAGTAGAAAGAAAGTTGGGCAGGGTCATCATGGTTTTTGCACAGGTTAGCTGCCCAGTAATGAACAGGGCTGTCAATGCTCCTGTCATTTAAAACATGTCATCACTCTGGAGAAGATACAACTTTATGAGAACATTCCCAAATGGATGAATCCAGTTACAGCCAAAGTCAAGGACTTTAAACATTACCATATTAACTGTTCTTTCAGCCATGAATCTAATTCATGTTGTTAATGTCCCCAAAAGATTTAATGGTATTGCTTTAAAGTAGAAAAAAAAAAAAAGGAAGGAAAAGGAGAAAAGGAATAATTATACACTGAAGTTTTCTAAATCAACATCCTGACACTAGAGAAATCAGGGAAGAGATTTAAAATCCTGAACTCTTTTTCCTCTAGAAAAATGAATAACTTTTCTTTGCCTTAATAAAATGTATAAATTTGCCTTTGAGGATCTGGTACACACTATACACAAACCCCTCTGGAAAAAATGCTCATCTCACACTCAAAAGCTCAATTCAAAAGGAAGTCCACATCAACATTACATACGAATCATAGCTTATTAACATTAATAAAAAATATTTTTTTGTATTAATGTCTTTTTCAATTTATCCCTTAGTCAAGGTTTTCTAAATTGACAGCCAAATGAACAAGGAAGAAGTTTATCATGTTCAGATTGCCAAAGATTAAATAGGACATCACTGCTGCATACCTGCCCATGTTTTTATTTTGTAGATAGCAAAAATACTATTAAAAGGCTCAGTATTAAATTTTATCAATATTTAGATTCAAATGAAGTTTTCAGTAGCATATAAAAAAACATAATAATAATTGCATACTTACCCAAGCACATGGTTTGGTCAGCATTTGTTTTAAAACCAGTGTGGCAAATGCAATAAAAACTTCCAACCGTGTCAATGCACTGCCCATGACTGCATATGTTGGGGATTTCTTGACATTCATTACGATCTGTAAATAAAAAGCATCTTAAGTGAGAACTTAGAAGACGCACCATAATTGAATAACTTACTTCTAGCTATTGTTCTCAAGAGTAATCCTAGCTCTAAACTAAGTTAGTGTGACAGACATATATATATATATATATGTATTTTTGCATCAAAATGGATTAAAACTTACTCTCATTTACCAGGCATATTCAGAGTATGTTAACAATATATGACACAATAAAAAACAAGGGGAAGTAATCAAAACATATTCTAAAAGATGAATATTTATAACTTAGAAGTAAAATGGGGAAAACAATTCAAGCTGGGAGGATTTTCTGTTTGATTATCTGCCTACGCAGCACCAGAGGCTGTGGAATTAATGGAAGTATTTTGTCTAGTTAAGATTTGGTGCCTCAAGTCATGGATAGTTCATGGCTTCCTTTGGAAATTTATATCAAAGTAAAATCCCATGCTAAGATTAAGTTTTTCTTGATGGACAACCCACATGGCCCCCTGTTCAAGTTGCATCTCTTTGTTTTGTCTTGTTCCTATAACTTTTTATTCCATCTTCACCAAGTATTCACGTACACACAGGGCTCCTCTTAGCATGTGACAACCTGAATACTCTCTTTTTATTCTCATCCATTCAAAAGGAAGCCCTCTCATCTTGCTTCTGCCAGTCTTTAAGCTGTAAATTATGTTTATAATCAACTGAATCTTTGTTGCTTTCCTGAAATCTGATTATCTGAGGGGCAGAATTTAATGCATGAATTCACAAGCGACAGAATTACATGCCTACTTATGTCTCTAATTTTTTTAAGTTTTATGTTTAGAGTAAATGTGCTTTGAAGAGCACTGTGCCATTCTGATTTTCCACAGAAGAAAGCAAATGGAGTGCCATCTTTGCTGCAGATGCTGTAGGGTAGACGGCATTCTGCTCTTAGTTGAATACTCCAGACTTGCTGTTTGCCTGCCTTGTCTACTCAGAACATAGTAATCATGAATGGACACTTTTTGCAGCACAGAGCAACCCTCTCTATCCCAGAATAATGAACATCTCCTCCATTTCATGTATTCAGGTTGCCATTTTTATGACTACTCCTATTTAGTAGATGAATCACCATACCATTTAGAAATTCCAAGTGAAGTTGAATATATCAATATGAGGGGAAATCGGAATACAGCAGCTTAGGAACTACTGCTAGCCTATGCAGAAATGCTATTTAACAATATGATTATTCCCATTTGAGAAAATGAATTTAAAGTGAATAGACTGTTTCCCAGTATAGGAAGAGGAAATTGATTTTTGATCTTGAGGAAGGTATCTCAGGTCCTACCACAGCTGGCCCAAAACTTTGGCACCTTCAGGTAGTACTGGATCTGGAAGTATCCAGGGGACAAGGTCTGTCTTATGTCTGGGTTCTACAAGGAAATAGAGAGCCTTAGGATCGTATTAGGAAGGGATCCCTAATTAGGAATTTCTTTTCATCTACTGCCCTATTTCATGATGGTTTAAATAAAGCCATCTTCATTTTTCATATGAAAAATGAAATATGGAGAGTATTTTGGAGTTCTACTGGTAAAACTAGAGTAGGTATCTAGGTTCCTATAAGCACCAGAATTTGAACTCTTAGCTCATATTTGAGGGTGAGATAGGAGGTTTGAACAGGCTACTGTGGAAAGAAACCCAAACAGTCAGCATACAGAGGACACTATGAGGAAGTAGCTGGGAAGAAACTGTTACTTGTCTTTAGGTGGGCAAGACATTTCAGAAGGGGGTTGCATTTGCTCTAACTATCCGGTTTTTGCTATCAGACTACCAACCTGAGCTCAGATATCTAATTGTTCTCTCAGCTCTCTCAGCAATGATATGGGTGCTATGGCCAGCTGTGATTTGGGCTTTGAAATAATGTGCTTATGCATTCAAATAAAGATCTCGTGATGAAGAGAAAGTTTTCGTTATTTTCATTTTAAACAGAGGTAAAAAGGAGTACTTCGCAGCATGCCTGAAAAAAATGCTAAGTGTAGAATAGCATTTAAAGGTATTTTAAAAGTAAGACATAAATAAAGACATTTCTAGAATGAAGTCTTCAACCTATCTGGCTGAATGGCTGCAAAACTGAAGTTCATTCCCTTTCTTCTGAGGTTTTCAATGAATAAAGGAAATCAAGGTTTTGGCTGCAAATATACGCAACACTTACAGCTGGGTGCATTTAATGTATGTTAGTCTTCTACAAGAAAACAGTAAAGGGCTCCAGCCCAGCAGGTTATGGCTGAATGTCTTATCTTGATCTAGTAACGGCTCTGTCCCACTTCTTACCTGAGTGTGAAATGGTATGAAATGACTCATTCTATATTATCAGCAATTCTTTATTTTGACTGGAATTACTTCATCCATTTCTAAAGAAATATAAATTACGAGCAAAATGCAGGGAAGTGGTATTAATGCCAGGTTTCACTAGGGTATTGTGGTTCATATCAGAGACATCCCCACTTTTCCTGTCCTGTATTATTACATGGATAGCAACAGCTCTGTTGACAAAATGCTAAATACTTACACATGTTCCTTTGAACTCAACAAAACAAGTCTTGATTCTCAATGTGATTTTTTGTTTGGCTATTACACCCTCTTCCCACCAAGGTCTCATAAAACAATGCAAAATACCCTAAAGAGAACAGTGCACTTCCTACCACTTAATCACTGGTAGGTAAGGAAATCCAAGAAAAACCTGACCACGTTCCCCTGTGTTGTTTCATTCACAAATACATAAAATATCCAGGAAACCCCCTGTGAAATGAACCATGAGCAAAATAACACATTCTTCCTAAGATACAATGATTTGCTTTGCTAAATATACACTGATATTTTTCTAAATATACAATGGTTCAGAATTACTTAAAAACTTACAGGAAAATCATTCTGAGGTATTGTTTTGCTACTGGGATGAAATGCTAGTCTTTCAAATTTTTATATCACTGGCTACAAGATACCACCAGATGCTGAATAACTTCACCATGCACTGAGCTTGATAATTCACCACGCTTCTTATTTCTATCACATCCCTGACAAAAGTGAACAACAAAAAATCTAACCTCTAGGGGACATGGTAATAAACAGCTAATAAAAGTTGTTGACTTTTGCAGCCTTCAGTGAGTGATTCTTTCCCTGTAAGATGACTGAGAAGAAAAGCAATGGTTTTGTTCTGTTTATGCAGATTAATCTGATTCAGCTCAGGAGAGCTTCACTGTCTAGACTTGGGGTATGTAGCCAAAATGGCGAAAACCTCACTTTTCTGAGAGGGATTCTGCATGAGAAAAAAAAAATCATTTGGTCCTAAATGTTGCTTAGGGGAGTGTATGTATGCATGATTCTGTATGTGTGTGTAACGTATAGGGGTGAGTGTCTGCAGGCAGGGCAGCAGACAGGAAGATATGAAATCTGTTTACTGAAATGATTTACTTCTGTTTGAAAACGGCTCCTCTAGAAAGGGGATTAAAAAGCTAAGTGTTTAGACATTTTGAAAATATCCTTTTTTCCAATTTAGTTATTAGAGTTCAATAATCTAAATCCTAACTCACATTTTCTTCAGCTTAACTATCTGAAAAGAAACCCAGATATCTGAAGCTTCATGAAGACAAACTTGTGGGTGGGCACGTCCAGCCTGGGGGGCACTACATACCATTGCACTGTCCCGTGGAAGTGAAGCGGTAGCCGGGCTTACAGTCGCAGCGGTAGCTGCCCGCAGTGTTGATGCATTCGGCATTGCGCTGGCACACTGGGCCGTTCTGACACTCATCAATATCTACGAGCAGAAGAGAACTGAATTCGAAGGAGAACAGAATCTGGTGTCCAGTCAACAAAGCCTCTCACATGAAAATGAATTTATATTTTACTTTGATCTTTTCTATTGAAAAGACAACACAGATGTGTAACAGCAGCTTTATTCGTTGCCAGAATTTGGAAGCAACCCAGACGTCCTTCAATAGGTGAATGAATAAATAAACTGTGGTACATTCAGACAATGGAATGTTACTTAGCACTAAAAAGAAATGAGCCATCAAGCCATGAAAAGGCATGGAAGAAAATTCAATATGGCCGGGCACGGTGGGCTCACACCTATAATCCCAGTACTTTGGGAGGCCAAGGCAGATGGATCACCTGAGGTCAGGAGTTCGAGACCAACCTAACCAACGTGGTGAAATCCCATCTCTAGTAAAAATACAAAATTAGCTGGGCATGGTGGCAGGAGCCTGTAATCCCAGTGACTTGGGAAGCTGAGGCAGGAGAACAGCTCGAGCCTGGAAGGTAGAGGTTGCAGTGGGCCAAGATCACACCATTGCACTCCAGCCTGGGCAACAAGAGCAAAACTCTGTGTCCAAAAAAAGAAAAAGAAAGAAAATTAAATGCATATTACTAAGTGAATCAGAAGCCAATCTGGAAAGGCTTCATAATGTATGATTCCAACTATATAACCTTCTGGAAAAGGCAAAACTATGGAGACAGTAAAAAAAAAAAATCACTGGTTGCCAGGGGCTAGCAGAGAGTAGGGGATAAACAGGAGAAGCACAGATAATTTTTTGGGCAGTGAAATTATTCTATGAGTAGTTATGGAATGGCAGACACATGTCATAAATTTTTCCAAACCCACAGGATATACAACACCAACAGTGACCTCTAATGTAAATCATTGGAGTGGACTCTGGGTGACAGTGATGTCAACGGAGATTCAATTGTAACAAATGCACCACTCTGGTGGGGGATGCTGATAGTGGGGGAGACTGCGCCTGTGGAGGGGTAGTGAATATATGATAAATTCCTGTGTCTTCTCAATATTGCTGTGAATCTAAAACTATACGAGAAAATAAAGTCTATTTTTTAAAAAAAGAGAAAGGAAGACTGAAAGCCCATTATCTAAACTTTCCCACTTCAGTAATATTTATAAATGCAAGTGCTTGATTTATGACCACATATGAACTCTAATGATACCCATGTCTAACAAAAAGTCACGGAATTTGGCTGCTAGGGCCAGCACTTGACATGGGTATAGATTAATCTCCTAGGAAGCCTTGAATTTCCTCAAAGCTCTGGATTTTATGTTTCATTAAGGGTGCTATTGTCTGAAAGGCTGCAAGAGCAGAACATCTCCAATTTTAAAGTCCACATGAATCACTTGGGATCTTGCTAAAAGGCAGATTCTGACTTGGCATGTCTGGGAAATGGCCCGAGATTCTGAATTTCTAATAAGCTCGCAGCTGATGCAGCTGCTCCTGGTCTGTAGAGTGCTTTCAGGTATAGGGCTGTAGAGACGCCTGCTCAAATTACTGCCACAAGGCAGTCAAATCAAGAAAACCTAACATGGGAGTTACCATACTGAAAACAAACCAACTCTCATTAAAACAGAAAAGATTTTGGATAATGGATATTGTGTGCTCCAGAGCTTTGATTTTGCTTAGGGGTTGTTTACTTTAAAAAAAAAAAAAAAATCCAGATACCTAATATAGTTCAAAATCGTGGCATTACAAAAGTTACTGCAAGTCTGCCTGGCGCGGTGGCTCAAGCCTGTAATCCCAGCACTTTGGGAGGCCGAGGCGGGTGGATCACGAGGTCAAGAGATCGAGACCATCCTGGTCAACATGGTGAAACCCCGTCTCTACTAAAAATACAAAAAATTAGCTGGGCATGGTGGTGCGTGCCTGTAATCCCAGC